CAGATTAAAGATAATTACTTAGTTGACGAATAATTTATTTCCATTAAATTTCAATAAAATCAAATTTGACTCAAACATTAAACCAAACTTTTTAACTGACTCAATATGATTACAATAAGTATGCTATAACTTTAACATTTTATTGCTGTTTTCTGTTTTCACATTAAAGTGAGATATTCACAATTGTGATAAGCATAGAAATATAGACAATAAAATCATAATACCTTTGCAAAGATATAATGCGATTAACATTATATCATGTTTGACGCATGTGCCTGATGCTTTATATTTAATTAAATATTCTCTTATTATGTGTTATTGGTTCAACTTATATCTTCTTTAGTACCAATATTCTAAGATGGAAACAACTGTCACGCTTATTAATAAAAACCATTGCTAAATGCTGCATACTGTTCTATAGTACAATTATTCCTCATACTTCATTTATTTTTATATCCTGAAGTGTGAAAAGCTCTTCGGTGATGAAATATTTTTCTAAAAATCGACATTAAGTATCTTTACATTCAAATAAGCGTTTCTTTTAACTATAATAACACAAATCACACATAAATAAGATATGACATTATTTCAAAGTAGCGTCATATTGTTATTCTTCGAAATGGTACACAACACTTTTTTGCGACACTAATATTTATTAAATTAAATGAATGAACAAATTGTTTTCGTTATGAAAGTAATATCCTTATTTAAAAACCTACTGTTGAGGGTAACGTAAACGAAATTCTGACAATTCCTCTTGTCAAAAATTGGTAAATATCACTCACAATCTGCTTTCAGTTTCCCTTTGTAACATTGAGTACGAGATAGAGCGAAAACTGAATATTAGGCTGATATTACACGCGTCGTACGATGAGTTTGTCGGACGTGCTGATTGGCTGTCGGATAAAGAATTTCCAGTGTCCCTAACATTTTCTCTAAATATCTTAGAAATTCCCTATCCAACGGCCAATCAGCACATCCGACAACGATTGTTGAACAATGCATTTAGTACTAGCCTTAGGCTTGTTCTACAACATATTGTAAGTCGGAGAAGGATGTTGGAACGCAGTCGATGGTCCAATGAGAGAATTTATTTTTTGAAAATGAGTTCTGCTCATTGGACCATCGATGAGTTCTTCTCACTGGACCACCATCGACTACATTTTGGTATCCAACATACGATGTATTGTAGAACAAATTTTAAACGGTATGTCAATGACTACGTTTAAATGGAATCTACAATAAGAATTTAAGACATAAGATTTAAGAAATTAACTAACCATTAATTTTTTTCGATTGTGATTGGTCAATTTCTTAAGACATAAGGCTTAAGGCACTTATTGTAGACTAGAACTTACACAACAACGTTAATCCAGTTTAATTAGAACCGTAATTAGTGAACTCTGGCATCCGATTAATATATTCTCTCAGATAGGAAAATATTTTATTGTTACTATACCGGATTAGCATAGCCGTGTAAACAAAACATAGACGGGAAGGTCCTGAAAGCCTATATCAGACTATGGATTAGAGATTGAGATTGAATTGAAATTTGATCAATCAGTGCAAAGTTCACTAAATTTGAATTCAGTTAACATTACACTGATTGGTCAAATTCAATTCAATCACAATCTTCAATCTATAGTCTAATACAGGCTTTCGTCCTAGTCTATAATAGATGTTTTAAGCCTTAAGCCTTAAGAAATTGATCAATTACAATCGAATTATAGAAGAATAATCAATTGTGATTGGTCAATTTCTTAAATCTTACGCCTTAAATTCTCATTGTAGATCTCATTTAAAACAGGGTCTATGAAAATTCAAACTCTAAATCTTAAGAAATTGACCAATCATAGTCGAATTTGAAGAGAATAATTAACTGTGATTGGACAATTTTTTAAGACTTAAGGCTTAAAATATCTATTGTAAACCAACATTTATGACGTCATTGATGGAACTAGACGCTATTGCAGCACATTGCATGCTAATAACCGAACAATATTTCAGTATTGTTAGCACCAGTCAGTATTGCCAGTGTCGGAACACACTCTATGTTGTTCGTCCATGGCACGTCATACATTATTAGACAGCGCACTCTGCAATATCTTAACAAATAGGGAACGAAATGAAACTTGTGTGAGATCTTTGTCATATTCTATATGGGAGGAATAAAAAAGGAAATCTAACCTAATCTAGTGGTTCCTGATCGAACTCACTTCAGTATTTTCATCTCTCCATACTTGACAAGCCTTGCAGTAGCAAATAGTATATCTGCGAGAATCGAAACGTCGCCCGCGTTGAATATCGAGCTTTGTTGTGTGGAAACTTCAAGGTATATTCGCGTTTCTTCACTCTTGTGTGCAACGTGTTCTGTTTCCCGATCGGAAAACAAAACAGTTTATTCTTGATCCTCGACCTCCTCGACTAAAATCAATTAACGAGTGCGATTGGTGATTGATGTGCAAAGAATAGGAACCACTTTTGGTAAGTTCCAGAGATAATAAACTTGACACCTTTCGTCACGTTATATTTCTATGCGCTTTCGATCCATTTTTCGATTGTGGAATTTTTGCATTTCTTTCGTGTATCTCGACCTACGCCATGTAAATTTTTCGAAGAAATTTGTCAATATTTTTGTTTGAATATACTGAAAGCAAGTGCATTCTGTACGCTAATGATATATACGAGGCCATCCAATATTGCTTCATTATTTGGCCAAGTAACGTCAAATATTAACGAGCTAAAATGCTGGAGAGACAAATATATTATTTTCAGTTAACTAAATATATTTGTAAATCGCATTGAAGTGTCCGATAAACATTAATGAAAGGTACGTGATGAAATGCCTAAATTGTAATCTTTGTTACCTCATTAATCAATCTTGTAAATCATAGTATCTTGAATAGTTAAGTTACTAAAAAGGATTTGATGTGTTATTGACAATACTTTATAAAACTATAGGATGTTATTAAATTATAATAGCACGAAGCAAAACAATCTTGTTTCTAATCTATAAATAATACTGTAAGAATTGTATTTGTCGCTTTGTGCCATGGATATGTTTTCTTCTAACCTTGAACGACATGCAACTGAACTTGCTGTAACATGAAATATATTGTCAATGTAACAATAATATTAAGTTACATGTCTTATATTTTGTAATCAGTTAAAATCCTATGAATAATTTTTGTTTAAAAATTGCTTATAAATATTCTTTATCCGTAAGATACATAATATTGTTTTAAATAGGTAAAATAATCAGTTTTTATCAACAGTAAAATATTTAAGACAATATCTGGAATATCTCAATAATTGAGCAAGTTTAAATTAATATGTATGTATATATGCATATGTAATTTGTTTCTCAAAATGTTTAAACATGTAGAAATAAGTATCTCTTTCTTCTTTAGTAGATGTATAGTTTTCTTTCTCTTTGGTATGGGTAATTGTAATTAATATAATTATGAACTTAATTTATATATAAATTTGAAATAGACATGTTTTTGTAGATAATGTGTAATCTGCTTAACTGTTAGGTTAGGTTTCATATATTGGGATGTTAGGAGCTAATTAAAACTGATTGATAGTTTTCTCATTATTCACACACATATATGTATTTATTGAATGCTATTTAAATCAATATTGAAGTGATTTTTTATTTATATAAATACATGTCTGAGAATAGAATCTTTTTAATGTAAAAATAAAACAATAACATCCAACAAATTATAAGGGAATATTATATTTGCAGTGATATCTGTTTACATTGTGGACAATATTATACATTGTTTACATTTAATACCAGAGAAATGATAGACAAATGATCATAGTGTATATTCATTTTGCCATATAATATATAAACAATTGAGACATAAATTATATCCGAGACAAAGGTGATACATACAGAAAAATGGACACAAGTGAGGACACACTCTCGCGACAGGCATTCAAAATCCTTTTCCTTCGATATGTCGTTCTCTGGCCAAATATGTAAAAGTGATGTCATGTGGACGCCCACTGAAATCGTTTCTCTCTCATTTATCCTGCCGGCACATACGCATTATATCGTTTTTCAAATGGGCAAATATCTTTTTGAACAAACGCGCGCGTATTTCTCGTAAACTTCGTAAGTTTAACAATCGATGATTATAATAAAGCTTACCTAGTTAAGCGGGATCTACAATGAGAATTTAAGGCGTAAGATTTAAGAAATTGACTAATCATAATTGATCTTTCTTCTATAATTCGATTGTGATTGGTCAATTTCTTAAAGATCTTTCTAGAACTTAAAGTATTTTATTGTAGACCGGGACTTAAGCAGGATCTACAATGAGAATTTAAACTCTAAGCCTTAGACTAGGACTTAGTCCCGATCTACAATAGATGCTTTAAGCCTTAAGAAATTGACCAATCACAATCGAATTACAAAAGAAATGTAAATTATGATTGGTCAATGTCTTAAGTCTTACGCCTTAAATTCACATTGTAGATCTTGCTTTAGGACTTACGAAGCGTTTTATATGTTAGAATTTTCTTCTCTTTTTCTCGCGAACTGTCGAAACTCTCGGAATTTATATGAATTTCAATGTGCATATTAGCGATAAGAATATTAACGGGAAAATAGATGGATAGTAACAGTTAAATGAAAGTGTAGAGTTTCGAAATAGTGTGCGTGCGTGCATCAAATTCATGATCCGATGTCGTTACGTAGTTGGAAGTCGAGTTGGAGTGGACGCGCGCGCGTCACGTCGGAAGAGGCACCCACGCCGTGTTTCGCGCGCATAAAGCTTTACCTGAGAACACACGCGTAGGTAGCGTAGGTAGACCAAAATCAAATCCAAAAGTAGCGTGAGTCACACTCGTAGCTTCGCGCTATTCCTAGGTAAAAGCATGTACACATACGCTTGTTAGTTCACATTTAACCAGTTTCTTCTTTAACAAAGTCTGTACATATGTAATTCTATTTCGATTTGGCATTAGATTTTCGGTAATCGAAGGTAAAAGTAGTAGTATCGGCAATTAGTCAAAGTAATATCGAACATTACATCGGCCAGATACTTCGAGGGAACGCACACGATCGCGATATACATATAGAAATTAATGTTCATAAGCCGCTGACGTGCTTGTTTCGCTTCACTTAGTTTCGTCAAATTAGCTAATCCAGTAATGATAATCGATACATCGATACGTAAAAATGTTGAACTACCGTAGTTACAGTAGTAGCTGCAGCGCGACGTATCATAATGACCTCCACCTCCATGTTTCTAACTATTTTTGATAGTCAACTTGGCTAACTTTAGCAACTTTCGTCGGTGGCCGGCTCTTCGAGTTTAAGCTCAGTCTTCCATCGAGATTCTATCGACGCGCGCAACACTCCGATAGTTCATTATTGTTTAAAATATCGGTACGGTGCAACAGCGATAACGTTAGAACATTATATACGTACTCTTATATGCCTGTCTCGTCGATTTAAATCGTTAATATTATATATATATATATATNTCGAACAGTTGTGTACATATATATATATATATGTACACAACTGTTCGACACAAAGGCATATCGAAGTATCATCGAAACATTGAAAAATGTATCACGATAATAATATCGCCATCGTGATCGTAGCGAATGCGCAAACGCTCGAAGAAACATGGCGACGATTAACAATATCGACATCGGTCTTTCGATCGTACGTTTTTTCGTAACGCCGTGTTTTACAACGCGCGAATTCGATTCGTTAATTGTCACGTTGGTTGGTTGATAAAAATACTCATTAAGGGATATCCGACAGGTGGTTGCCTAAGCTCTGATCTACAATCAAACATACCAAACGATGGTCGACTACTACAAAGTACTCGAAGTGCAACGGACTGCTACTGGTGGTGACATTAAAAAGGCGTAAGTTCAAATTATCCGTTAGTTTAATCCTTTTGTTTAGGCTCGGAGCAAATCATATGAAATAATGAATATACAGTGATTGCTTGGTGATTCAGTTTTGATATTGTCCAATAATATCGGGTGTATCGTAATTCTACGCTAATTAAATTTCCGACATATCTGTTTTGTAGATATAGAAAATTGGCCTTGAAATGGCACCCGGACAAGAATCCGGACAATTTGGAAGAAGCAAATAGAAGATTCAAGGAAATTTCCGAGGCTTACGAAGTATTGAGCGACGGTGAGTAGTACTGATTTACCGATGATTTATTTATTAGTCATTTATTGACGATAAGAGAATAATTCCTCTTGGATGTGCGAACGAAAATGCTATATAGTTCTTTTGTAATTGAGAATTTTTATCTCACTAAGAAATGTTTCTTCATTGATGAAAAGCGCACGATAAAAACGCACGTGACCCTGCAATGCGTATCGATACTTAATATCGTTAGATTCTATAGAAACATCCGAATTTTAGAGTTTAACAGCTACGGTTAAGCCGCCGCTTTTTTAGCAGGAACATCAACTAATAACTTCCTTTCGTAAATAGACCGCAAATTGTAGCTTCTTAGAAATTTGTGAGAACGAGCACGAGCGAAAAGTATATATTCGTGAGTGAAAAGATACATATAAAAAAAAAGATCGGGGCGATATAGAAAATCTTTCCAGATGTGAAGAGACGTACTTACGATCAACGCTTATATCAGAAGGCGGCATCAAGGCCCGGCCGTGGATTCACCTTCCGGAGTTTCTTTGATTCTCCCTTTCAACGATATTTTGGTACCATTTGAAAAGAATACAATTTGCAGAGTGATCAAAGCATTGTGCACTGTAGTTTTCTTTTCTTTTTTTATTTACCTTAATACTACAGAATGCTACAGAGTACTTTTTCGCGTCTTATATTGAAAGAATTCAAATGCAAACCCCGTAAAAAATATCCAACGCGACAAAGACGCGAGCGACTAAAATATTTGAAATTTTAAACGTTCGAAAAAAAAAATTACGCGTGTATGCTCTGTGTGATATATAATTTGTATAAATATCTTCCTATTTATGAACGAAGACGATTTCGTCGAATACAAATAACGAAAATATCGATATCGCTCTAATTTTGTTATCTATTTGGACAATGACAATGTAAAAAGATTTCACGAGTTTTCCCATCTAATGTCATGCCCGAATAATCACGCGTTGCAGTTAACCTTGCCTGCATCATATTGTCAGCGTGTGCTAACAACTAGCGAATTATAACTATGTTGGAAATCATTCTCAACGGAGCGTGAAATTCAATTATATATATTATAGTGTAAATGATCAAAAAGATTCATGATACATGATAAATTGTCTCTAGTGATAGTGTGTCGCTCTTTATCAAGATTTTCCCTAGCATTATATTTTACATTACCAGGCAATATTGGACTAACCTTTGACAAGTCTTGCGGAACTCGCTTGTTGGATTTCTATTAAAATGAACAGGAGTGAAATAGCGAGCTTGAGTTAAGAAAATTAACGAAAGTTAAAAAGTAAAATATTCGTTTGGAAATTTTCAGAGAAAAAGAGACGAGTTTACGATCAATATGGCAAGGATGGTCTACAAATGCCCGGGGGTAAACGGCGCCACGGAGATGATTTTGATCCGCACTTTGCTGGCACGTTCGTCTTTAGAGACCCCGAAGAAGTATTTAGAGAATTTTTCGACGGTATGCCATTCGAAGATTTGTTTTCCGGTAAGATCCACCATACCTCACTTGAGGCTGGATATATTGAAATGAAAAATTAAGCATTAAACACTTAAAGCATATCAAACACATCACGATCGTTTCGTGCCGAATTTCACAGGATTTCACGGTAGCGGTCCTCGGAGAGGAGGTGCAAATAGACACAATTATTCGACTAATAACAGTCTTAGTACTTCTTTCTTCGGGCCCTTTGGATTTGGCTTTCGTCTACCGTTCGACGATTTATTGGAAAGCGCTGGTACCCCTACAAACTTCACTTCCTTCGGTACTTTCACCAGTTTCGATGGCATGAGTGGCGGCACCTCCATGAAACGTACCAGCACCTCGACTCGCTTCATTAACGGGAAGAAAATTACGACCAAGAAGTAAGTCATTTGGCATTTTAACCTTTATCGTACGTACATACGTATACGCGCACGTGTGCGTATGTATACATGTGTATATTAAGAATACAATAATATTACATATTGATTATATTTCTATATATAACTACTATCTCTTTTTTCTTCGGTATGTTTTTTTACAGAGTTTTTGAGAATGGGAAAGAGACAATAATGTCCTACGAAGATGATGTACTCAAGTCAAAAACGGTGAACGGCGTGCCACAGTCAATAACGTACAGTTAAATCATATCTCATTCGCACGATCTCTCCTCCTTGGCAATTAAGAAATTCCTGTCGTTACTATTCAAACACCTATAGACGAATATCTGCTATCTCAAACACTGCGTTAGCATTCCCAGCTTCTTCCGCTACACTTTTCATTGTTTATCATTGTCAGATATGTTCTTAATGTCATCTTGTCGAGATCGATTATCGATGACAGTGAGAGGCTCTCTAAAGTTTGAGCGCGCGATCGGAGCATTAATAATTATTAAAATTTATATGTGAAGTAACAACCAAACCGACTCTCACGAGCCTTTCCGACATTCTGTTTGTTTTATGTGTGTATTAGGTTCGACGAAGCATCGACGAGTCGTCAAGTCTGTGAGAACATCAACGATAACACGATGGGTAGCCATAGTTCGAACGCGGCGCACGACTATCTAAAAGCTAGCAGAATAAAGACGCATCATCATCCGCACACGAGTAAGAAGCATGATAAAAGTAAGAGAAAATAATTCTTTTCGCCAAGTTCCTTATGTATTCACACAAGTTATATATGCGCTCCTAATATACAATAGACTTGATTTGTGTAAATTTTCAATTTTGTCATTATCTCTCTGTCTATCTATTATCAAACATTGTCTACTATCCCATGGAAATAAAAAGGCAAAAAAGTAATGTTAAAATGAAATATCAACTTCCTAAGAGGGAAAAAGTAACTTCGTCTCTGATGAATAACTACTAGTCTGGCTTAACATATCGACATGTGTGTGTGTTGGTTCGAGCTCTTGTTAATAAAATATATATTTCAAAAGACAACATTATTCGTTAGCTTTTGGTTTGTAAGAGAAACGAGGCAACTTATTATCTGCTATCGTTGGACCGAGATCCGTTTAGCTTTGTAAAAATAAGCTCTTTGAGTTTATTCAAGCAGCGTATGTGACTGCACGATCGCTTATCTTGCGAATCGGAATTCTACAACTTGCGGATAAAACATTTATTCGTGGTGTCTGTAAAGCTGGCACGATGTTTCAATAACTTAAAAAAAAATGGTGGTTCCTGTAGTACTTTTCCTAGTTGTACAGTTCCTGAGAAACATGAAAAGAATTTCCGCATTTTTAATATTAAATATAAAACATGGAGGTCGAAGTATACATGGAAAAGGATTGCGCTCTGTTTTGTGTTTCTTGCGTTCTCTCTTGCTTTTTGTGCGCGAACGAGAGAGAGAACGTCGAGATATTTGTATATCTCGTTGTCGTCGGGATATACAAAACACAGAGTGTATAATTTTCTATGGCCTTCAGGTGCTATACGATTTGTCATTGGCTACGATAAATCGAGAATGAACTTAAAACCATCTTAAATATAAGATTCGACTATGAATGCCGACTGCGTATACTTCGACTCCCATTCCACACACTCGATCTAGATACGTAGGCCCGTATTTTGAACTCTCTCTTATCGATAAAAATGCCTCTAAAAGTGGCTTGGGAACCACCTAATTGGCTAAGGAACCACATTTAAAGTTTTATTTTTATCGATAAAAGAGAGTTCGAAATACGGATCGTTATGTCTATGTCCTGATCTACAATAAATACTTTAAGCTTTAAGCTTTGAGAAATTGGCCAATTACATTCGAATTATGGAAGAAAGATCAATTATGATTGGACAGTTTCTTAAATCTTACGTCTTGAATTCTCATTGTCGACCCCGCTTATGATCTGGACCGAGCGTTTGTCTTTATTTGAGGAGTGAGGCTCGAGTTGCACGTAGAAAAAAAATGCACTCCGCATTTTGTATTCCTCTGTTCTTTTTCGTTCATGCGTAAACACGAGTATAGACCACGTGAATGAAAGAGAATGCAGGGACATGAAGCAGAGTGCATCCTTCTCCACGTGTATCTCAATCCCCGCTTCTTCGATAAAGGAAAATGTCCAGTCTAGATATATTATATCTACGGTTACAAGTATTATGAAACAATAACTACGAGCGCACATACTGGTGTATTTATGCGTTTTCTCTCATATAAACAAATACATTATTCCTCTCTTTCCTTCACTATATTCATTCTTATTCTTCTATTTCCCCTATATTGTTCCTTCTTACAGCGCTTTGTGACAGAGAAAGTATCACTATTAGCATATATCTGTCTTTCGATCTTGGCTTCAGCTCTCCGATGGCAGTGTTCATGGCAAATTTGATTGGATGCACTAAAGTTTTTTCATAGCCTGTTCTTATATTCAAAGATCTTAAATACATCTTCACTAGGTCTGGATCCCTGATTAGCGCTGATAACATGTTCGCCGAACACAGTCCAGATAGGTAATGTAGCTGTAGCGTTCTTGTTCGCGTGGAAAAATGCAGGGAGATCGATCAATCCACGATCCGAATACATAGGAGACCTATTATATGAATATCAGAACTGATATCGCTCATATGATGAGCGGTATCACGTGATAGCGGAGAATAAATTCAATTTCTCCCAATACTTTCTCTAAACGTTACAAATAGATCTACTTACACATCACTAGTAACACTGGTAATGATAATAATGGACCATTTGACGGAATTATCGAGAACAAAAGCATAGGAGGGGGTGTTTGGAGTATGTGAGAGCGTTAAACGGATCACATTCGTAGAATCGCAGAATAATTTTTAAAATAACGGGTCATTTTTTAGCCATCTCGCAGCTGTCACGGCCGCCTGAGTGATGACTGAGAAATGACTTGTTATTTCCGAAATTATTTTGAAATTCTATGTAACACATCGGAGATACCTTGTCCGTTTGTCGCATATTTTACAGATTGCAGAATTACGAAACTATTATGTTTTTTCAGGGAAAAGTAAAAAAGTAAGACTATATATCGCGAGAAACTTCTTGCATGTCATTTCTCGCTCATGACATCGTAAAATTGATATGGCTGTCGGAAAGAGCAGTCTTAAAAATGTGGAAAACTCTTTTAATTTTGATCAGGAATTGTAGGAAGTATTACAGAAGAATTACTGTTTCTTAGAATTATTAAAACGTCATGGCAGTTTCACAAACATTTGTGTCTATGTAGCCGTAGAATCCATGTAACCGATGCTAATTAGCCGTTCGCTAATTTAATCCCCCATTAAACATAGGTTACCACAACTGATTTACACATATTTTGGAATAATAAAAATATCTTATCTCTCATATCGGTTAATAATAATAGTTGAAAATAATTTATTTCTTGTCGCTGCGTATTATTGTTACTGGCTAGCGTTATTTATCGACTTAAGTTATAATTAAATATGCCGTTCAAATTTTATTAGACACATCGTATTCAGCTGTATGTTTCCTTCGATTAGTTATTTACATATGTGTATATAATGATAAGAATGTTATAGAAAAATATGTTATTAATATGCATAAACATCGTAAATAAATGTAAATCTTTAATATGGGGCTACGCAGACGGCAAAGGTAAAATTATAATTGTTTACATGGAGAAATAAATTAACGACAAAGAGGTACGCAAGAAGTAATATTATGTCCATTTTACTGCGACAAAAGAATAGCTACAAAATTTGCTGGAGATGAATGAAATAAAATTAGAGAAAGTATACGAATTATATAAATGTCTTGGGATTTTTTATAAATTATTAAAGAATACAAAATTAGGATTGTATTGTATCTATATACAATATACTGATTACTGATTAATGTATATTGTGGTGCTGCTGCTATCTGCTTGTTATTGAAAATGAAGTTTTCTAAATGAAGCCTACACACAGATGTGTATATAAGAAGGCAGTTGACAAATTACTTCTTTCCAATTGAGGCAATTAATGCTTCTACTTTAGCAATATATTGCTCCTTTGCCGTTTTTGGTTCCATGTTCTTTTTGCCGTTCCAAGCATCCCATTTTGCTTTTCCTTTAAAATCCAACATACCTGGCCTCCCTAGAAAATAAAGTAAAAAAAAATTGGTCAAATTACGTTACGTATGAACATGTTTTAGTAATGAGCCATGATAATAATATGAGAATTTTGCAAAAAATTACCTGTATTACAATCACCAATGGTGGATTGTTTATATAATGCATATAATTCGAGTAGATCCTCATCTGCTGGTGGTGCAGCTAGTTCTTTTACTGCTACAGCTGCTGTATTAAATCTCTGGAAAAATAAGTATTTTTGTAATAACTTCATTATTTAACAAATTATAGCTGAATAAAAAAATATGAAAATGCATAATTTTTATAATAATTTGTCGAGACAATATTTATGATTATTCGATATTCCTCCTTATGATTATCGATTTTTCTCCTTTGTCGACATTTGATTGATATAAAACGGACTACTTTAACTGCTACGTAATGATTGAGTCGAGTAGCCGATAAAATTAACGCACGATATGAATAACCTTAACCTATTTTAACATTACGCAATTGATCGTGCCAACGTAAACACGTCTACAAAAGTAGAAACGTTTGCAAAAACCGAATGACAGAAACATCATTCTACATTGATTTATTCTTCCATTTAACGTGAACAATTGGATGTAACTAAAAGAAAAGACCAGCTCCATAATGTCTCATTCGCGTAAAAAATATAGAATTATAATAAAAATAAATTAGTTTTGATTCGTTATCCTTACTTCGTCCAAAGACATAATGGGAAATTTTCGTTCGAAATTCTCGATGTTAACTACGAGGAATCGCACAGGAGATTGTAACACACTTGCGACAGCGCTGTTATAAAAAAATAACTAAGTACTCTATATACGTGGCGTACGTGGCTATGTACATCGATTGAATGTGGCAATTAATGTTTAACACGGCTATTATTGATTTTTAGAACTAACAAAAATATCGATAAACCGTTTATTTTCGCTAATTTATTTGACAATGATACAGTACATAAAAATATGGGCGATATTTGCCGGTTGTAGATAAAATTATCTAAATAACAATCCTGATGAATAAATAAATCATCTTTATCTTTATCTAGTGGAAGAAATACAAAATACATTCATCTTCATTTTAGGTAAAAAATGTTATCTCATCTAAAATTTAAATGAAATGACGTTATGGTCCATATTCTGAACTCACTTTTTGATCAAATGAATTAAATAATATGGACTTAAGCGTTAAATCCGTATCAGACTAGAGATTGAAGATTAAATTTCAACGAATCAACATTTCGGTTCGTATTCTTTGGTCTGTTCTTTTTAGCTACACTGCAGAACAGGTGCAATAAGTTAGGGCGAGACAAAATATACTTATTTCCCTCTAAGTTATTTCATCAGCAGTGGAACTAAAAAGAACAGACCATTAATTCAATTGATCAATCCAAATTAAAGGCTTTTTCACAGGACGCGACAATGCTTGCCGTGCGGCAAGAAACGATGCGATAGCCAATCAACATGCTGTTTTTTCACGAGAACTAAAAGTTTATTGGCTGCCGCGTTGCTTCTTGCCGCGCGGCAAGCGTGCCGCGTCCTGTGGGCAGAAGCTGTTAACCTAGCTGATGGTGATGGAGACGAGCCTTAAGAGCTATATTCGGAGAGTACGCTGTCAGCGCTAACACGTAATTTCATCTTCGTCCCTCATTAGATGTACGATAAGGATAGATTGATTTGTTAGCGCTGATTAGCGTTAATAGCGCACTCTTTGAACGCACCCAAGGTCGTGTCACCCATAGTTAGAGAAACAGAAACAAACATTTTAATCTATATGTTATTTCTCTTGACAATCTAAAATGCATGATAAAGTTAATATTGTCATAATTTCAAACAATATTTTCGACGTAATTATTTATTTTTACATGACCTATTCTTTGCAACATCCTATATATTAGATTGAAGATTTCTAATCTGTTATGATCTAAAATAACAATTATTAGGATTACGTTGTTATAAAATTTTTATTAAGTTTATTTTGTAAGTTTCATTATTGATTATACATTACCATCATTGTCTTTATACCGCGCTCTGATTGGTGTATTTCCACCCATTTTAAAAAATTCATCAATCAGAAGGTAGTATTTTAATCCAGTAAGCAATCCAGCGCGAAAACAAGCATTGTGCGTCGCTGGCTTTACACTAGCAGAACTCTGAGGGTGCATTCGAGGAGACGCTATTTAGCGTTATCATGTTATTCTTTCCTTGTACATGAATAAAGACTAATAAAGATAGAATGACGCTGTAATGCTAAATAGCGTCTCCTCGAACGCATCCTGTGCTGTTCTCATCAGTTCTTGTTCAGTTCAGTGCAGTCCTAGTGCAGCTAAAAAGAATAAACCTTTTGTTTTGCTCTAACTTATTGCACCAATTCACAATGCTGCTATAAAGAATAGACTACATGTGTGAATGCGTACATCGTGAGGTGCGATGTTATGTGATTTTTTATATGGAGTATTAATTTATATGTTGTCAGATCATAGTGGTGAGAATGAATAACATGGATGAGGAAGATGAAGATATCGTGATAGAAGTACGTAATAGAAGACTTTGTTTTATAAAGATTTATGAAGTACAACTTGAGAAAAATTACATTGCTATTATAAAAAGAGATGATCATATCATACATCGCAAGTTACATTTCGGCAATTATTTAGTTTAGCTATATCAGCACAAATATCGATAAAATTATGCTTATTCGACGCGTTTTTGCACGAAATAAAAGAACCTGGCAGAAAAAAGTGTCGCTCTACCCCGCGAAATGAGTTATTAATCGTCAAAGTTGATGATTTGACAGGTTAGGAAACCTGTCAAATCGATGAATTGTTGCGATATGAGCATGTTTCGTAGCATTAAATAAATATAAGTATTAAATCTTCGCCTTACTAAAGTGTGCGCGATGAGTTTGTTTTATATTAAAATGAAAACAATGACTAAATAGCAAAGGCCCCTAATTCATATAAGATACACCTTTAAAACTTTAGTTATATTTAGGTACACTTCAAACTTAATTTTTTCGTGAATACTTGAGAGTTATATCGAGTGGCTTTACCACGCATTAGTGGAGGTGTAACACTACACATATTTCAAGTCTGGCGAAGAAAGAAAGACACTCTCTGGTGTTCCCCTTATAAATAATACATGTTTATATTAAAAAGGAAACACAGGACACAAAAGTGCCATTAATTGAGAAACGAGGGAAAATAACAATCAATACATATGATTATTAAAAAATTTTTTTAAATTTTTATTGTAATATATATTATTTTTAAAATGACTTAACTTTTTATTTGTATCACAGGGTAGTGCCCTTCACGAACATCTGTCAAAATTTGGCTATACAGACTTTGAAAGTGTGTTCATACCTAAAAGAGCATATTTTGAAGAGGACCGTTCTTTAAATATTGTAATAATCATATTCTGTGACATTATTCTTTTTCTTTTGACAATGTATTTTATGTGATACAAATTATATAACATTCTGTTTTCCAGGATGTTAAAAGTATATTGAAAAAGGTTTATATGCGGCTATTTTCTCTTTATTCTTATATAACACAGGTATTTTTTTTAAGAACAATTATACATAATTATTCTCATTGTGCATATTAAATATAATTATATTTCGCAATTTATCTTTTGCAGGAAAAAAACATTTCTAGAAATCAGCTAAGCATTATTTTTAATGCAGATGTTCTATTAAATGATCATTCTTCCATGATTAATAATATTCTAATTAAGTACAGTAACAATTCTAAAAGGTAATTATTATAAAGTCTTTTTTACTATTTTTATAAAGTACTTCTAAAGTACACATATTTGTCTTGTTTTTTTTATTTATGAAATGTTCTGGAAAAATTTGTATTCAATTTATATCTGAAAAACTAAATAACATTTTATATACGTATAAAACTGAATCATTTAACAATAATTAAAATTGGACAAATGTCAAGTTAACACTCAAATTTTTCATTTTGTTTGTAGAATAATATTGCAAGACTTAATTGTGAATGGAGTTATATTAATCTCTTCGACATACATTTTATTACGTAAAAGTAAGATTTTACCAGCATTATTTGCATCATCTGTAATTTGTTGTGCTGGTTACTTACAACGTTTACGTTTTTGTGCCACCCAAGATTTAAAAAGTCTTATATCATTGCAAAATGAACTGTTTGTTATGTGTAAGGAAGGTCTTAAGATTTTGCGGAATGTGTTCAGAATAAAATTGGGTTTTAAAACACACGTACAGCAATTTTTGTAAGTTTATGATTTTACAAAAGATCAATGATATATATACGCATAAGTTTACTTAAAAATACTGTTATTCTCTTATTTTTGTATTAGTCATTTTCTAGGAGAAAAATTGCAATATCTGCAACCTTTAACAGAAATTTTATTAAGGTTTTTGGAAAATATTTCATATATTTATTATGAATGTACCTTATTGATTGCGAAATTAATACCATGGGACATATTTAATGGAGATTTATTTACAAAATTTGAACGTAATTCATTTTGGGTATTTGGTGAAATTAACTATCAAGTATTAAAGGTAAATAAATAGTATATATACATTATTATATTTCTAAATATGTATGTTTATAAAGTTCCTTTTTTACAATATATTTTAATTTCTTCCTTACAGAAATCATATCATACTTATCTTCTGGTACAATCGGAAATGTTATATTTATTAGCTATTGCGTATGACAAAAATACCTGGATAAGTTATTGCCAAAAGATTCCCGAAACAGAATTGGCCCATATAATTCATATTTTAGTTAGATATTTGGCAATNTCAATAAAATAGTAAATTCTGCTAAACTTTTAGCTGTGCTAAATTCTTTAAATGCTGTGTCCAATTTTTGCATCAGTATCTTCGCTGTTTCACTACTGATACCACTCTCTTGGCTGATGCAGTCATCGATGTTTTTAAATATTAAAAACACCTGATTATAGGCCAATTGTAGTTTGTAAGATGCCAAGTCCAGTTGGACGGACGGATTATGCCATTTAGCTATATCTCGTACTCTAACAAGGAAAAATCTCATGTAATTTATCACTTATAATTAAAATAAACATAACAGCGCTGCCATCTAGTCACCGGAAAAGAAGAACAAGAAAAGTGAAATAATAGTGACTGCTTCTTCGCAGAAAAGATAACAAAATTTGACCTCTCCGATATCAAAATAATGACTTTTGTCAAATTCTGAGTTATTAAGGCTATTTAAACAAAAAAATAATATTTACTCATTTTCCCAAGTTTATTTTTGGATAACTCCTATACAGAATTCTTCTCATAATACGATTTGAAAGTTCATAACGAGGAAAGACTAAAGGCATGAACGATATAAATACACTTTCGGAACAGTTTTAAGAAAAACGACAGAAATAAATAAATAAATAAATATATATATATATGTATATAAATGTCATTATTTTGATATCGGAGAGGTCAAATTTTGTTATCTTTTCTGCGAAGAAGCAGTCACTATTATTTCACTTTTCTTGTTCTTCTTTTCCGGTGACTAGATGGCAGCGCTGTTATGTTTATTTTAATTATAAGTGATAAATTACATGAGATTTTTCCTTGTTAGAGTACGAGATATAGCTAAATGGCATAATCCGTCCGTCCAACTGGACTTGGCATCTTACAAACTACAATTGGCCTATAATCAGGTGTTTTTAATATTTAAAAACATCGATGACTGCATCAGCCAAGAGAGTGGTATCAGTAGTGAAACAGCGAAGATACTGATGCAAAAATTGGACACAGCATTTAAAGAATTTAGCACAGCTAAAAGTTTAGCAGAATTTACTATTTTATTGATAGCAAAATCAGGATTTAATAGCCTGAAAGGCAATCAACCTATAATTGATCATATTACGATAGATAAGAATCCTGATTTACCTGTGAATTTCGATTCAGATCCAGAGATTCTTGACGAAGTATTTGAAGAATATATCAAAGAAGAATACTTGAAAAAACCATTGTGTGAAGAAGAGGACGAATATTCATTAGAACAATATAAATTAGATAAACTTTTGATGAAAAATTTTATGAGCGAGTTAAAAGAGGCTTTATTCGACAAAAGAAAATCTATGTCCGAACGAGAAACCAAAGCGCTACGACGTATATATAAAAATATATCAGAAAATACTGCACTGAATAATGAGGACAATATATGTAAAGATGATCAATTTATACCTATTCCACCATCAATGCCTCCTCATTGTTTATGGTCATCCAACAATATTATACCCAATGCAAGTCACGAGAAAATAGCTTCCTCCAGTTGTAAGATTATAAGTGATGGTTTACCTATAAGTGATAATTTACCTATTCAAAAAGAGGTTGACAAATTAAATGAAGAATTAAATGAAGAATGTAATCTTTTAAAGCCATTAAAATATAAAAACATTTCCAGTATGTATTCTACTGAAACTTACGAGGAAAAAGATGATGACGAGTCCCTTTCATGTTTGCCACAGATTCTTTTTGAAACTCAAGCCGCGCAATATGTCATGAAACTACCATGTGCCTTTATACAGGAGGAAACATTTATGGGGAGTGGTGAGAATTCCGAAGACGAGATTGTAGATAATGTGGTCGATAAAAATGATGATGATAAAAATAATGAAGATTCTCAATAATAAATATATCACATTTGGATTAATAATTATTGAATCATTTTGAATGTGTGTATCTTCTTATTTCAACGTATTTTGCAAATTTCCGAATATGTATTTTCTCGCTTCTGACGTCATTAATCAGGATGGTCATGGCGAGGAAGTATCAAAACCTTAGATCCGGTTTTTCATTTTCCGGTAAACTTGTAGTTTAGGCTTAAGAGGGATGGACATGTTTAACATTTCGGAAAAAACAATTTTCAGTGTTTTATATTCTTTGATAGCGCGAATTTTTAGAAATATTTTTCAGATCTTTTCCTACTTCCGGCTTTAGAGATGTCTACAATAAAGAAACATCTGTTTTTTAGTAAAGAAGTAACTTTACCAATTGTATTTTCTTTCGCGTGAATACTGTTTATTATGTTCATTGGTAGAGAGAAAAATATGAACTTTACTATAATAAAAACTAAATTGCTATAATAATAACAATTGTAATAAATTCTTTTATACCAGTGTTTATTTACAACCGAAAAAATGCGACTAAATAAAGATTACAGGCTTAGTTTGAGTCAGATAATGCGATAATTTCATACAGAACGCGGACCATAAATTAATACAGTATTTTCATTTTATGAAATTGTTCAAAATCTTAATATAAAATTCACATTTTATTATTGTAACAAGACGTGTGAAAGAAACAAATTGAAATCATAACAATTAATGTGTTATAATAATTATTAATTTCTTTTATTATCATTAACATTATAAGAAATAATAATAGGATTTATTATTTCATGCATACTTTAAATGTTAAAGAAAAAAGTGTTTATAGATAAATATCTATTGTATTTATGTCCTGAATTTTTTAAATAGAGGATGTTTATTTGCTGTTGATGAACTAGCAGCTTTCTTGTATTCATAATAGACAGCATCATCCGCGCCTGACATCGATGCCATAGTACCAGCTTTACGTACAATCTGAGAAAAAAATTTTATATATCTAGACCTGTACTTTGTTAATGATAATGTCGTTATGCTATTGCATAATTTTTTGCCATGTTATACCCGTGCAATAATACCATAACGACACAACGATACTGCTGTTAAAAGTTATAGAATAGAGACTTTAGATTATACTTTACTCTTATAATACTCACTGGTCTTGGTCCTTCACCAGGTATTCTTTCTTCATCTGCATCTGTATCACTAGCTGTTAAAACCTGTTGCAACAATTGACCTTGTTCTTCTCGACTTGCGTACATTAAATCTGGTTCCTGCACAAATTATACTTATTTTTTTCAAACATGCTTCTAAACAGTAAACGATAAAAATTGCATTGTTATATTATTCTCCAATAAAACATTTTTTAAATAATTGATACAAGTATAAATCCGTTTACTATCTTGATAATTATTTGCACATTTTATAGAGAATACAATAGTTAAATAAATATATGCTAACATTACAAATGTGACAATATATTTTGTTTACGAATTTGTCCAACCAATTTGTAATTCTAATAAATAGTAATAATGTAAATAAGGTTTGCCATAAATTATACGTGTCTCACATATTTCTCTTAAATATTTTACAATTTTTTTTACTTTATTTTATATACTAGTGAAAGGTTTTAATTAAATGGAAAAACAAAGATATGAATTTTTGGTCCATTAAAACTGTTTCTATAACATTTTTAATATATTTTAAAAAATATATTTTAAAAAACACTAACAAAAAAATTTAAAATATATTTAAAAAAAACACTAACATATAGCTAATTATTTTACTATCTTTAATTTTACCTCATCCATGCCTGCAAGTTTTGTGATAACTTTATAAGCATATCCTTGATTTACGAGAAACCGTTGGCGCTTTCTCGAATAATTCATTTCCATTGTATCTTGCGACACAAGAGTATAAAAAAATGCATTATATTCTTCTGCGATTGCACCTACAATAAAAATGAAATTATTTAATTATTTAATTATTACTATTTTAATAATGATAATTTACATATACATAATGAAGGGATAAAAAAAAGTTGAAATATTAAATCTATACCTTTTTTAGCCCTAAGTATGCGTCCTAATCGTTGTGCTTCTTGCCTTCTAGATCCACCATGGGAAGAAATTTGGATTAAAACGTTAGCTTCTGGTAAATCAAAAGAAGTATCTGCCACTTTACTAACAAATATCGTATTTACTTTCATGTTAAATTTAAAATTTTGTAAAATTTGTATTCTTTCACTCTGAAAATATGAATAAATCATTTTTATTAATAAATATTAATAAATATAATAAATATAAGTTGTAAAATTAGACATCCGATAACATTTGCTGAACGCATGTATATATCTCAAGTACTCAAAGAATGAAAAGTTAACGTTGTGCTACGTGAAGCACAAAAACAATATGATTTGTACTTACTTGACTAGTAGGACCGTAAATATACGGCTTATTCATTTTAATAGCATAATGCTTTAGCGCAAATACATTATCTGAGAAGACAATTGTTTTGTCTCCACGTCTCTCATGATATCTGATTAAATATTGGCAACAACGAAATTTATTCGGATTCATCACATATAACAACTGAAATAAAAAAGAAATACCATATTTTAAAATATACACTAAAATTCTATTTAATAATTGTATAAAAATAGTATAGAGAAGTGATCTAACTAATTTCTTGCTCATTTTGCAGCCAAGATATTCTCTGTAAAATTCCGGAGTCATGGGACACCATACTTCGGCGCATTGCACCCTTGCGATAAATCCTCTCTTTTGTAATTCCAACCAATTAGCCTCGTATAACTTGGGTCCAATTAAAAAATTCAGATCGGCAATCTTATCATCTTCTCGCAAAAGCGTTGCTGTTAAACCCAATTTACAATGGGACTGAACAATCGTTAAGACTCTGCGGAACATTTTTGCAGGGATAGTGTGTACCTCTAAAAAAAAAAAAAAAAAACAACAAAAAAAGATTTGAATTATTAATTTATATAAAAAAAAGATATTAGTGTGCCGCACAGTAATATAAATAACGAAATTTACCATCCAAAACCATAATACCCCACTCTTGTTCTTGAAGCCATCGCATCGTTTGTTCAGCTTCCCAGGAGCGTTTTTGAGTATGTGTAATCATGGAATATGTAGTTATCAATATCCCACAACCCATAGGTTTATCTTTTGCTTCGCTGGTAAATCGACAAATCATCGAATCATCGGCGGTAGACCACATTTTGAATTGCTGCTTCCATTGTTCGACAGACACACCAGAATTGCATAATACTAGAGCGCGTTTACGTACTGTACAACAAGCAGTAACTCCGACTAAACTTTTGCCAGCGCCTATATTTTACAAAATCCAATGTTGACAAAAAATAAAAATATACAGCTTTTTTGTTATATTTCATACAGTTAATAAGAATTCTAATAATTATTATTGTTATATTTACCACAAGGTAAGACTATTACCCCGGATCTAGCTCGTCCATTACCAAACATTTTACGCAGACTTTTCTCTTGATAAGGTCTTAACACAGCTGATGGTTTTAAATCAATACTGTAATGTTATAAAGTTATTATTTTTTTTAGTCATTTTTATTGTATATATAAAAAAATAAGATCTGTTGATTTTCGTTAATTTTACTTACTTTATATCTGGATTTATACTATCGTTGCGGAAATCATATTCTGCTAATAAAGGATATTCCAATTCAATGCATCGTTTTTGTATAACTTCAATTTTTTCCTTTTTACCATAAGAGTACATGTAATTTTGATATAAAAATTTTAGAACATTTTATATAAATCAACATAATATTAAATATGTTCAATACTTCAAATAAATTTATATAATTTATGTACATACCTGATTCACTTCAAAACTAACTGTTTTTAATTCTTGATATTCTTCTTCATCTTCATCCTCTTTATCGATCTTGTCATAAAACGCAGTTATGTCTTCTGGAATATTAGTTGTTTCTGCTAATATTGGGCCAGACTCAGGAGTCTCCGAATTTGTTTTACTAGGTGCGGACGTATTTGCGACTGGTTTTGCTCCAAACTGTATCCCAATATAAAGAAAATTAACATATATTTTACTACAAAAATCAATTAATAACAGAAATATATATTTTACCTGAGGAGCTTTTACTTTGGTCTGAATATTTGTAATAATATCATCAGCCTCAGTTTCTTCCACAATTTTCCTCAATCGACATTCTTGAATTACAGAGTCTTTTAATAATTTTTGCAAAACTTCGGGAAATGGAGATTCGATAAAATACTTATTATGTTTTAAAACAAGTTTGACCTACAAAATATTTACAATGTCTTACATATACAGGATGTGTCTGACACGTGTATATATAGGGTGTTGCATCAACATGCGATTCTTTACGATTCATTGCCTGCCTAAAAACGCGCGCGTCCAGTTAATAATTCACACTATTTGCTGCCGGCCAATATTTTTCATTTGGTCTGTTCTTTTTAGAACTGGCTGTACTAGTTCAAGAAATATACATACATATTAAAGTACATGAAATTTTACATATAACGTACGAAATTCTTATTTTTCAATGTGCATAAATTGAAATTAGTGCAGTCAATTCAGTTAGAAGAAACAGACCAATTGTAAATAGTCAACACACAGAAGCACGTCTGTTTAGAACTGAAGGGCTTTTACGTTTCTCAAGACAAGGTGAAAATTACAAAAGTGATTGAACTTATTAAAGTATTTATAATTTCATTGATCAACACATAGAGAATTTGCTTATTTTTATAATTTTCACCTTACGGACACACTTGCAGAAATTTTTCTAATCCACTGTACAAAAAAGAAGCGTTTATATTTTCATAATACGCATTAACAAAAAATAAATAACTTGGACTCCCCTCTCTACTCTGAAAGTTGTAATATCAACTAATTGACATTTTATATATAAAATCTGAATCTTTGCAGCATCACAGAAAAGTTTTTTACTTACCTTTCCATATGATAATGTACACAATTTTATGAACTCAATGATGCCATCAGGAATGCTAGTTTTACTCAACCTTTTTAAGTATTCTATTATATCCTCTGTTTGTAAACCTACACTAACCGCAGCATAGAGTGAATATGCAGTTAGCTTATACTAAAAAAAAAATGGAAAAAAGTTAACATATATATGCGTGTCACTAATATGTAATAATTTTAATTAACAATATATTTTCAATTAATTCAACCTCATGAATATGTTCTGGCCGGCATATAGGTTCTGATATGGCTATTAAAAAATCATGAGCATGTTTATACACAGGAGAAAAGGATTCCAAAAAGATATGTCCATTTGGTGCCTATAAAATATTACAAGAAAAATTAACACAGTCCTTTTATAAAATTTGTATACACTTAACAACTTACTACCTATACTTACCACCCATAATGGTCTAGACGCACAATCTGGTTTTAAAATCATTTGTAAGCGATAATCTTTTGCTCCAAATTCATCTTCAATTGCACTATCATCTTGTTTTTCTACATCATTTTTTGCTGCATCTGGCACACCATCTGCTTCATTACTATCAATCGAATCTTCATCATTGTATTCATCATAGTCATCTTTACGCTTTTTCCATTTACCTTAATTAATAAAAACAAATAATAAACTTATACAAGATATCCATTATACAGCTTTTTAATGAATATATGCCATAACAGAGATATAAAAATAAATCATTTATAAATTAATAATTAAATCATTAATAAATGTAAAAAATCGTGTAAAGTGATTTATAGTAAACAAAAGATAAACGTGTAAAGATATAAATTACATACTATTATCTCTTTTAAAACGTTTCGGTGGACCCATTCTTTCAAGATTCGTTATATCAATTTCTAATTTTATTTTTTCTCTTATAGTTAAGTATGTTGGTTCGAAGTTAATACACAACTCTCTCTCTCTCTCTCTCAGTATGTAGATTCAGCTGATCAAAAATGTCCCAACATCGTTTTCATTTTCTAAGGAACAATATGACAAGAAATTCAACAAAGAATAGAAGCGAGCACGCGCATAAGCACATCCAAACTGCTCAGCTGTTCTCGCGAGACACTACCACAGTTTAACTACATACAAGTTGCGACAGTGCTAAAAATTGAGGGTTTGATTTTCTTCTGCGCGTGCGTTGGCTGTACAACTAAGAATATGGCGGACTGTCATAGCAATATCGGCGAGTGAGAGCACAGCTGAGTATTAATACATTTAAAAGTATTTATATTATAATGGTAATATAAGATGAATGAAAGAGGTGGTATCTCGTGTACGTTTGCTACATGTAAAAATATTTGTGGACAGGGAGAAAATGAAATAAGTTTCTTTCGATTTCCGAAGAATAATGAAAGGTATGTTAAGGTTACGTAAAAAGTTATCACATATACACAATGATATTAATATTTATAGACCTTGAGAGCTTGTAAATAAATAATTTCTAAATATTGTGATATCAGTATATTTTTTGTATGTGATATATGAAACTCTCAAGTCCTTTAATAATATGAATAGTGAGTAGTACTGTGTCTCACTACGTCACTTGATATCATTTAAATTCAGCGCCGGTACAACCCTCAACATGGCTGACAGTCACGTGATCGATGACCACTGACATCAAAGAAGCCGAGCTTCAGCTATTGTTGCAACTGTATGTAGTTAAATTGTAACACTACCATGGACCTAAGAATCTAGGGAATATAAGGTGAAATCTATCGCCACCGGTAGAATGCACTTGAACATTGTTGTTTGAATTGAAGAAGAAAAGGGAGGGAAAACTATTATATTATTTATGTGAAGACCCAGACAGTATAATGTCCAAAATCGGGACATAAGACGTCTTTTAAACATCTTAAAAACATCTTAAAGACGTCTTATATCACGACATCTTAAACATGACTTCAAGACGTCTAAAAGACGTTTCATATCCCGATTTTTGACATTTGTGCTGTCTGGGGAGCCTGTATCGCGTATTATACTCAAAACTCGAATGAGAGTCTAAATGCTCTTATATGGAAGATCACTCCAAAGGAGATATATTAGTTAAATCGGAAAGTTCCATTCGTTTTTTTGCAAAAAGTATGGTTTTACTTAAGAAACAAAATGAAAAAGTACATCAATCAAAATATTGTCAATCGTTAGCGATGACTTTTTCCCATCTTTCGGGCAGCAAGCGAATTCCGCGGCGAAATCTTGGCGGCACTAGGATGGGATGTCTTACCTCACCCGCTCTATTCACCAGACATTGCTTCTTCAAGTACCATTTGTTTCGGTCGATGCAGCATGGCCTTTCTGAGCAGCACTTCAATTCTTTCGAAGATATCAAAAAATGACTCGATAACTGGATCGCCTCGAAAGAACCTGAATTTTTTCACCGCGGAATCAATGTGTTACCCGAAAAGTGGGAAAAGGTTGTAGCTTCCGAAGAGCAATACTTTGAATAAGATATGATGTACCATTCTTTTGAAATAAACTTGAGTTTTTGTAACATAAAACAGCGAGAATTAATTCCAGTACCCAATATATATATATAGAGTCATTTATATATAAATTCGAATTAATTCATCTTTTGTTTGCCTATCTATCGTAGAAAAGCACAATAAAAGTTCGAATTTTCGCAATACCCGCAATTACGTTTCTTTCCTCTCTCGCATTCTACGCAACAGTATCGTAACCCGGCGTGTTTTTCTCACAAAAAAAATCACGTTATTACCTTGGAAAATGTCAACCGTTAGCAGAAACTATGATTTACGCCGGTCAATACGTCACATGTAGGTGAACTGATAGGTAGTAAAGTTAGATAAGAAACATCGAAGACACCTGCTCCGCACGAGAGCGTTTATCCGATTGATGTGCGGCTACCGCGCACAGCGCCTAGCTCGCGTTACGTGTGCGTGCGATTCGCGTGACATGAATGCATACAAACGAGACTGTGTGTGCGTAGCGTGTGCGCGCGCGCGCGAGAACGTTTGTGCAACACATTATCCACTGTGTATCTAAATATCTACGCCAGCGCGAAGTGTGTAGTGCACCTCGTCGATTTTTGGCCGACGCGAGTCGTATCGTGCATACGCGATAGTGTTTTTCCCGGTATCAGGAGTCGTGTAAACGACTCGTTCTTGCAGAGACTCGACAGAGAGTCTCCGTTTTGCTTCTTTACGAAGCGCCAACGGACTAAGGGAACGTCAACGTCGGCCGCAACCTATATTTGTGTACTACATGGAAGGGCCATGTAACCTACGCTGTAAGTAATCAGCGAGCAATCGTTCCTTCAGTTTGATGTTCTCTGCGCGATAACAGGTTCGTAACTGTGTGAAACTGTGGCGTCGACGAAACCCTTTATCGCGTTCCGGACCTGCTACCGCGTTTGAGGTTATATGATAGCATTTTTATGTAATTTCTGGCTGCACCCATCGTGTACAAAGCTTTTTCCTTGTCTCTTTACTTCAATTTGTTTTTTGGATACCGTTGATATCACACATCATGGAACGTACGTTAAGCGAATAAATTGATTTCACTTTCAGAGTGAAGTGTAGCAAATGGAAGGTTTTAAGGTGAAAGATGAACCGATGGATGCATTAGCCATAGACAGTCAGGTTATGGTAAACTTTTTGTATGAAACACAGCGGCACGGTATACTGCTGGTCCTGTCCAGAGTCTAACATAAGAATTACTTTAAGGATGAGAACATTGTGAGCGTCGTGCTTAAAGAGGAACCAGGTGACAGATTCGATCCCGACTACATGGAGGATATTTGCTCTGGTACTTTCGAGAAGGTATTTCTGCCTATCGAAAACAATGAAGTGGATTTCTCCAACGAAATGGTAAATCTATAATGTTAAGGTAAAGGAACAATGGGCCGATAAGAGCCTACAGGTAGATATCTGTGTGCAAATTTGTAATACTTATTATTTTATATCAGAGACCAAATTATAAACCAAATGTTTTTGGTCATATTTTGAATGATTTTTTCCAGTAGTTAGTTCCTAATGACAGTAATAAGAGAATTACATCAGAACTTAATGGGCCATAAGTTTCAGCATTTGGTTTATAACTTTGTCTCTGACGTCAAGTAATAAATTTTACAAGTTTGCACAGAAATATCTGTGGGTAGGCTCTTATTAATCCATTGCTCCTTTAATTTGATTTTACATTTATCAATTTACAAATACTTCATCTTTCTTTTCTCTTTATTAATTTATAATAATTATGACCATATATTAATTCTTAATGTCACATTAATTTTTTTCTGTCCTTCAAAGAATACGGGTGTTTTTATTTAATATTATATAATTAGACAAATACATTAGTCTCTCTCTCTTTCTTTCTATTTTATATATATATATATATATATATGTATATATATGTATATATGTATATATATATATATATTTTATACTCTTTATAAAATTTCATAAATTATTGCAGGTAAAGTTAGAGTTGGAAGGAGAATCTACCAGTCATCATAATTGGACGGCACAAATAAATGCTAATTTATGCGACAAGGAAGATAGCGTAATGCAACGATGTTTGGCTAACACAAATTTTCTACAAGCACAAGACCCTGAGAAGCACCACGGATTTTGTCAGAACGGACAACAAGCAAAATTTTACAAAATACAATGCTCAATTTGTAAGAAGTGGTTTCTAAACAATGATTCCATGGTAACACATTTAAGAATGCATTGCAGCGGAAGTCAGTGTGAGGTTTGCCAGCAGAATTTCCCCGATAACTCCAGTCTGCACGCCCATATGTTGACTCATGTTGGAATGAGCCCATTAGAGTGCAATATCTGTCAAAAAAGATTCGCTTATAAATGGTGCTTAAGAAGTCACATGCAACTACACGTATTGGATAAACCGTACGATTGCGATGCGTTGCAGCAAGCTTTTATGAAGCGGGCAGGTATGAACGATCAGATGATGCATATGGAGGAGAGACCTTTTGAGTGTGATGTGTGCCACGCGTCGTTTAAGGAGAAAATTACTTTAAATCGGCACATGTCCAGCCACGTGGGAGATAGATCCTATAAATGTGAAATTGCGGCATTTAGAGAAAAGGCAAAACTGAATATGCACATGCCGCTTCATATGGGGAATAAGCAATTCAAGTGTACGTTGTGTCACAGAGCGTTCGCTCAAAAGGCAGCGCTCAACAATCACATGTTGGCCCATAGCGGCGAAAAGCCGCACGCGTGCAACGTTTGTGAGAAAACGTACAAGAGAAAATCAGAATTAATTAGGCATACTATGGTTCACACCGGCGAGAGACCGTACGAGTGTAAGGAATGTTTGATGACTTTTCGTGAAAAAGCCAAATTAAATTCCCACATGCTGGTGCACACGGGAGAAAAGCCGCACGAGTGTCACATTTGTCATAAAGCGTGCGCACGGAAATCAGATTTAAATAGCCACATGTTGCTGCACACCGGTGGTCAATACGACTGCAAGGTCTGCGATAAGATTTTCACCAGGAAGTCGGATCTGAATAGACACACTCTGATACACACCGGTGAGAAGCCGTTTGCGTGCGATCTGTGCGATATGGCATTCAGGGAAAAAACCAGATTGAACTCTCATATGATCATACATACGGGCGACAAGCGGCATGCCTGCCACATTTGCAGCAAAAGCTTCAAGGAGAAATCGTCGTTGAGGAAACACATGTTAACCCACACCGGTGACAGACCGTACGAATGCTATGTGTGTCACAAAGCCTTCACGCAGAAGACTACGCTAACCAGCCACATTCTGGTTCACGCCGGTGAGAGACCTTTCGAGTGTAGTTCTTGTCAGAAAATATTTAAAGACAAAGCAGCGTTGAAAAAACACTTGTCGATGCACGTTAACGAGAAAACTCATGAATGTCTTATCTGTATGAAAAAGTTCGCTCATAAGACGGCATTAAATAATCACTTGTCCACGAGCCACATATCCTAACTACACGGATCTAGTCTATTACAGCTTTCTGTTTCTTTACATTGAGCACCGTATGTTTGTAGTTGTATAGCATATTTCCAATAATTATATCCTACCTATATCTGTTTTATATGCCAATAGGTGCGAAAGTCGTATTTTTTCCTGTGTGTATGAAGATAATAAATTAATTTCTAAGTAATAACTGCCAGTCACTTTACGCTCCTACCTAAGGACGAATGAAACCATTAAAACGCTTATATTTCTTACATTCCATCTTGAAACTAATATTGTTAGATCTATAAATCTATAAAAATCAATAAATACACAATACGTCGTTGATAAAAGAAACAGAAAGTATAATTTATGTTATTCCGCTAAATTGAAAATGATAACGGACGCATAAAAATAATGGGTAATAAGCCACTGCATAACGTTTATTTAATCCATGTATACGAGAGAATTATATTGGTAGTAATTCTGTAATTTTTAGCAATTGTGAGCTAGATATAGTCAATCATACCTGAAATAGTATGACAAGATTCTATAATTTTATATAAATAATACTGTATGTCGAGTTGAACAATTGCGAAATCAACAAATTAAAATTAACTAAACATAGGGTTATGATGCGTCAAACATGTTGGTGGCCATTTACAATTTATATTTTGAATTTAAGTTATCATCACAGATTTTTCGATTAACATTACAAAGTCTATATATATATATATATATATGTATGTATATATATTGATTTTGTAATGTCAATCGAAAAATCTGTCGTGAAATCTAATTTAGCAATTTTTTATTTTTCAAAATACGATGTCACCTATGCATATAGCCAGAGAAAGAAAATTTCATACATCGGAACCAGACCATTACTTCTAAGCCGTGTTTTTAAACAAACACATCTGGTTTCATGTCATATCCAATATTGCCGCGACTATCTACAATTGTCTCAATTTTCCCTCCCTCGATTATTATATTAACTTTTGTCCATACCTCTATTTAGCGCATTACTCCAATGGGCTCTTTTCCAGACCTAAATTATACATAAATACATGTATAAAAAAAAGTTGTAAGTTCCCAAACTGTCATATTAAACATAGCATTATGCATAGCATAAAATAACAAATAAGGTAAAATTTAATGTAAATGTTAGGATATATTTGAATCCCGAAAGCCTTATGAGATCTACCTAGATGATCATCTCTAATTAACGACTCAATGTTATTTGGTAGACTATAGCAATAAGTGTTATCCAAGATCAGCGATATCTTAGAATATTTTGAATCATGACGTGTGAAAAGTAGAAATAAGTACATACATATACAAATAATTGTTGCGATTTGCGTGTACAAAAATGATGTTTTATCAACTAAATTGCTTTATCTCGATATGTGATACGAACTTGGTAAACTAAACGATTAATGAATATCATAATAGCTGCCCTGTTGAAAGAAACCAGGTGGGAATCCACATAGGAAAGGTCTATATGGAATCCCATGTTTGCATTAATTTATAGAATCTATAATATCTGATAATGATAGTTTCTGCGATATACCTATCTGCGATTTTGCGCCAAAATCTGAAGTCCTAAGTAGGAACCCCTGTAAATTCCTACATAAATTTTCACAAACCATGTGGATTCCTATATGGATTTTTATTATTCTATATGGATTCACATGACTTCCTAGTGGATTTTCATGGCAATCCACCTGGAAATTTTCAACAGGATGTTTATCAATAATTTAATAGTAGTTTCAATGTATATGTGGTATTCCAAATTATTTTCATGCTAGTATGTAATATCATTGGCTGCAAAATTACCTGGACGAGTTGTCTCTCTGAATTATATTCTAAATTATTCGATTTGATATAGTTTTAACGAGATTAAAGCTACATCAATTGTTATTAACTTGTTACTAACAAGTCAGCTTATCCAATTTACATATTTGAACCAATAATATCAATATAAACGAAATTAACACGGTAATCTTCATGATTCTTATAGCACAATGGACTCGCAATGGAAAGCCTTAACGAAGACAGCTGACCCTATGCATTCAAGATATCCTTTTATATAATTCTCAGCGAGTTATGATTATATTTGCACTGTAAAAAATATCTGATTAATAATTCGTTTGCATGTACCGGGTGGACGGTATGGATCGTCTTTCAGAATGTTCTTTTGGAATGTTAGAGATTAATGTTACCATCTATGTGTGCGAGATGGAATTAAATTCTCCATTTATATATTTGTATAAATTAGTTAAGATATGTTTCGATTGAAGCAATTTTATTACAAAGACGAAAGTATTATAATATCGATGTATTTTTTAACGGACCATCCTATAACGACTTATCGTGCTGAGAGCTTTCGAACGCTGCAATTCGATGTGGCCAATTTATCGATCACATAACAGATAAATAGCGTTTGCAACGTAAATAAACACGCATATAGTTCTAGGATGCTTGTTTACTTTCTATTAATCAATCGAAATAAGCGTACTGATGAATAGTGTACATACAAGGTAAAAATTCTATTTGTCCACGGTCGTATTATGATCGCATTGATTAAATGAAATACGTGTAATAAATATAAAATTTTTACATATAAAGCATATAAGGAAACTAAGCGTTTCAAGTATTAAGTACAACAATTGGTAGCGTCAACTAAATGTATATTATATTTTGCAATTATGTCATCATCTGCATGTATTCAGTTCCGCTTAATATTCATCTTAGTGAAATGTTCGTCGAAATTTGAATTAACCCTTTACGTCGACAGGATGATTTCCTGATCCGCCTGTAACATAACAACATAATCTCTTACACACATACTTTATTGAATATTATGTTCATAATATCTTTCAGTAAAGAGATGTCGAAAAATGTGAAGAGAATTAAATTTCGATTTAAACAAATAATTACATACACAAAGTTCATTATATTTTATAACTAATATTTTTTAACACAACTACCTTTTAAATAGTTACGTTTAATGAAATATTTCTTGGATGGAAACTTACTTCCGGCACTGCTTCCGGCAAAGGCAGAAGCACCACTGGAAGCCCAGGAATTGGGTCTACCTTGATTTTGTGCACCACTGGAAGACCAACTTCCGCTGTTAGTTTGATCAAAATTACCGCCATGTCCTAAACATACAAAGTTGTACAATATATTTGATTATTATACATATTACGTGTAAACCGATTACATATTTATATATATAAACCGATATTACTTTAATAGATACGTATACACAAACATTTATTTATTAAACGTTCTGGAAATATTCGCGTATTCTTTTGAAATAAAAAATTACTATTAAACGTTTTCAAAAAATAAAATTTTACGGGTGGAATTGTTGATAATATACTCGACGAAATTGTGATATTTTATTTTAAAGAGAATTAAATATTTTTTTCTGTGTATAGAATATTCTGTATATATTATTATAAAATATAAATATCGTGCGTATATATATATATATTAAATTACAATTTTGTGTGATTTTTCGATTGTTTTATAGCAGATAAGTATACTGCAGAAACTATCATTGTTAGATATTATAGATTCTATAAATTAATTACACTAGCATAGGTCGTGTAATGACTTTCATAGTCAAAGAACGAAAACAGATACTTGGAGCTAGCGCTTACTTTTAATTAAGACGCTGCTGCCTTTGATTTATGCATTATTATACAGTAGCATTATTATACTGCATCAATTACACATTTTTCTAATACTTCTTGTATAATTACATACAGTTGATCTTGAAATATTTTTCATTGTGAGTCTTTTATTTTACATGTACGTAGGGTGTTTGATAAGTCAGTGAGTTTGATAAGAGATGGCGCTCAGAATGCAAGTTTGATATTATTTATGACATTTGCCATTTTTTGTAGGCATACTCATATCTTAAAGTAATTACGGCACTTATGTATGTGCAACCATTTTGAAAATAGGGGGCCAGAGCGGTATTCATAGGTATCATTGTTATGTTTAAATTTTATAATTTCATCAATATTATCTCAAAAATATTATGGGAATTATATAGAAACCTTGGTGCAACGTTATTTGCAACGTTATGATACTCCCATTTCAATATTATCGAAATTTCCAAATTAGTGTTAAAGTTTGTTCATAATGATGTTGCATACAACACTAAATATGACAAATTTTAAAACATTACATGTTATTGAATATCGTTGTAATAACATCGCACTAATGATTTTTTACTTACTGGGAATGAGTTGATACGAGTATGTGCGAGAATATCTACATCTATTGTTGAAACACTTTTATAAGGTACGAACCTCCTGTACCGGACGAAGAAAAGGATTTAGCGTTGGCAAAACTGGAACTGGAGGCTTGAGCGCTGCTAAAAGATCCAGCGTAAGTTCCAACATGAGCACCGGATCCTGCCAAATGATTTCCTGCTGATCCGGGATGACTTGCACCAATATTAAATCCGTCTCCATAATTGTTGGATACCGGACCGGTTCCAGAATTTCCGGGTTCACCGGGGCCACTGTTAACACTTCCTATACCGGCTCCAATATTTCCACTGATTCCTCTATGTATTCCTCCCGGATGTTTACCACCTTTCGTAGCTGTATAGCTTCCGCTACCGGGTGTTCCACAACCAAAAAGACCAAGTTTACACTGTAATGGGCTAGTACTCTGGCGATTACTTCCTGCAGGATAAGGTATATTCCCGCTTTGCGGGGAAGAAACTTCTCCAGAATAAAAATCACTTTTTACATCTCCATTACCAGCAGTTCCTGATCCAGGAAATCCGGCAGGTTGTCCACCATATGATGGACCATTTGAGCCATTGCTTTTACTCCCAGGGACTGCATTAAAAGGATTATTTCCCTCGGTTTTCCTTCCTCCGAGCGAAATCGCTTCTTCATCATTATTGACTTGAATATCTCCTCTTCTCTTGTTATCATTCAGAAAAGGATTTCCTTCAAATGACTTAGTATTTTCTTGATTAAGGGGAATTACATTTCTGTCATTGTTTGCGTTAATGCCGCCAGGCTTAGGAATACTCTGACTGGAATCCAAGAACAGATTTCCCTTGCCAATTGATTTAGGTGTAGTTCCACTCCAGGGACGTGAAACATCACTTGGAATACCGCCTAAAAAGTGAATAATACAAAATATAGTCAGATGTACACATATATATATTTTTAACATGTTAAAAAAAAAATATATAAGGTATATCCCTGTTTTTATACACCATATATATGTATATATATATATACATATTTTTACATTTAATTTATATACATACATTATATATATATATAATATATATATACATTATATATATAATATATATATACATTATATANATATATATATATTATATATATATTATATATATTATATATATATTATATATTATATATATATATATATATATGTACTCGAGAGCGTCTCGAGCGTAAGGATCCCGGAGACTCGGTCGCCTTTTCCCTTCGCCGGTCGCACAATCGTCGTAGAATTATTGTCGGGATTGCATTGGAGATTGTATATTGAGCCGTGTCAGGAGCTCGTAAAGTTGTTCGTGGAAACTGCTTCTGGCGAGGAGCTAGATCGGACTGTGCGGGATCGGCCGGAAGCAGTAACCACTGTCGGGGAAGACCCGGCTGGCGCTCAACGGAAAACCCGGCGAGATTCGCGTAACGACGCCGGGCAAGAGAGCTTTTTCGTTAACATGACGCGCGTATTATAGACGCCGTTGAGCTCAGATCCGCCGCATAAAGCATCTCGCGGAACATCTCAGGCGAGAGATCGCTCTCTTTTGATCGCGTTACGGAATCTCCCGTGGTATTGAATTTAGTTGCCTGTACTTGAAGGACACAGGCTAACTAACGAGTTATTTCAATGTCACACCGTATAGTCGATTATCAGTAGGATTGCGTAATTATCGGCCTTGAAGTCCACTCGGATTAAAGTGTTGTTATTTTACTGTTAATCGATTTCTAAATTATTACCCCTCTCGGCTCCTCTCCGACGTGTCCGCGGAATCGAGGAAGAACGTGTAAGAACCACGACGCTCTACCACGAAGAATAGCGAAGGATTCGACTCACCATTTAGAGAAATAAAACTGAGCTAGCTGAGGTGGGTCCGTTGCCGCGCGAATGCGGGAGCGAAGGAGTTCCGCAACCGACGCGGACGCGAATTGTGGTGACAATATATATATATATATAAATTTTGGACTTTGAAAGATATCATACAAAAAAAATATGTTTCAGAAATGTTTTTCATAAAACAACAAAAAATGGCATCAATTTAAAGAAGGATATCAGTAGAAAATGCAGAAAATATTCAACATTTGTCTCTTATTTGCTTTTCTATTTTTAATTAATTAGATTAAAAAATCTTGAGAGCTTTGATATATATTTATATAACAAATTTAATAAAGATATTATAACAAATTTATAACAAAGATATTATAACAAATTTAATAAAGAAATATAAATGTAATGAAAATGATACTTCTTAAACATCAGTGTTTACTACAAACGTACCTACAGATCTATGCAAAAATGGATTTGCGGAATTCCAGCGATCAGGACCTCCTGGTGTTACATCTCGGTCACCTTAAATTCAAATTAAATTAATAATCGAGAAAATTGCTAATTAAAAATTTTAAATATTAATTAAAAAATTATATTATATTTAAATTTTAGAAAATTTTATTATATTTAAAATTAAGACAAACAAATTATTACGAATACATGTCACGTTTATTATAAAGATACTACTGTGAACACACATTATCAATACTACTTTTATTACCTTGATTACGTGAATTGTCTCCAGTTTCACATGCAGGGTTATAAATTTCAGGGTAAACTTGACTACCAATACTAGGAAGTGAATTTGGTTTGTATGTATTTGAGATATTTGGAATATTGCTATCGCCAAATCCAACGGGATAGTAGGTTTTATTAACACCGCTGGGCCCGCTTTTTTCTCCACATGGTCCATGTATCGCCGATACATTGTCATCTCCTTCACTGCAATCGCTGCCGTAATTACAGTTCTCTCTACAATTTTTACTTCCGCTGGATGGAATAGTAGGACCTTCGCAGCTTCCACTTTTGCATCCAGACCCGCTTCCGTGTTCAACTTGTGTACCTGGCCAAAATCCACTTCCTTTTTGTTGAGTAGGCCAAGTATTACTTCCACCTATGGGAAGTCTTCCAGGTGAGGTTCCAATTTCGGGATGACTGCCCGGCGTAGTTGTACTTCCGCGCCCAGATTGTCTGCTAGGCCAAATTCCGCTTCCAAGATGACTAGGCGTAATATTATTTTCTGGTTGTTTTTCAGACCAAGGTGCATTTCCGCTGCTAGATTGTGTGTTAGGCCTGGCTTCACTTCCGCTTCCGGGTTGTTTTTCAGGCCAAGTTTCTCTTTCACCTGCGGTAGGTAGCTTGCTAGGCCAAACGCCAGTTCCGACATCAGGCTGCGCACCATAAGGACCGATTCCATAAGTAGGTTTGATATTTTCAGAAGGACCCTTAATACCAGGATAACTTAAAATTCCCGTATGGGATACCGATGGTGTTCTATGATTAGATGTGGTCCTTGTTATATCAGGAGTATTATATGTTCCAGGAATATTATATGCTCCAGGCGTATTGTATGTTCCAAAAGATGTGCCAAACGCATTTGCATTAGCGCTTGCAATTGCACTACTACTTGCAGCGTTGAAATTGTTTGGTTTCGCTCCTCCGTAAGGACTACCGGACGAATCTGGCGTGCTCACGTGGCCAAATGGAGTTTTAGTTGTCCCGAACGCAATATTTGACACTGGAAATCCAGCGTGAGGTTGTGCTGTTCTCGAACCGGGCCAAGTACTACTTCCGCTTCCAATATGACCAGAACTTGGCCAAGAACTAGCAGTAATAGTTCCACTAGTAGATGGATATTCTTTCTGCTTAAAATTGTCAGGTACTCCGCTATAAGACGTGCTTCCAAAATTAGGTTTTACGCTCGCTCCAGCATGAACGCTGCTAGTACCTGGGGCGCGCAAAATTATATCACGTTATTAAAGAAAATGTATAAACTAGTGGTGGGCGATCTCGATGCGATTTTCAGGAAATCGATTTTTTTTATCATTATAACTATTGCGAATTTTGCAAAATGATACACGACTTTTCTGCTCAGTTTCACTCGTTCTACGTTCCCATGCACTCCATGGGAACCGAGATTAGTTTGGGACATCCTGTATATATACGTTGTGACGATGCAAATTTTCGCTCGTAACTCAGGCCGTAGCTTGGCCGAGGAGGAGCCGGAGGTTCGCGCCTTCTTGTAAGAGAAGGTGACCGAGTTTACAGATTTTTGGTTTCACGCGCCGTTTGCGCAAAAGCCATGCGGTGACAAAATATATAATATAATAAAAAATAGTTTTTTATCTTCATAAGCGAGTACCTGCTGTTTCAAATTGCCCGTAAGGTCTGTTTTGATTTCCACCTGGACCTCCAGGATTATTTAAAGGAAATGTATTACCTCCTCCGTATGGCGCCCCGGGAGAAATATTGCCCGGAAATTCATTACTTTTTCCAAAAGCAGTGTCGAGTGGTATCGGACTTACTTTTACAGGACCTTGTTTTCCTAATATGATATTAATGCAAAATAATATGAAGTTTTTTTATATAAATTACGTTATTTTTCTATAATCGCATATAAATTATTATATAAATAATAGTTATATATATATAATCGATTAAAAATATATGCAAAAATATCGTTTTGCTTTTCTGTAAGAATGTTATTACACTTACCTAGACTACAAGTTGTTTCAGGTCGAGTACAATTAAGTGAACCAAAAGACGTAGTTCCTTGACTCGGATTCCAACTTGACCCAGGTTTGTCGTCGGATCCAATATTCCGATTTTGCCCAGGTTTCGGTGTTGTTCCGGAGATTTCAACAAATACGTTATCATGTCTAGTACTCCAAGGTTTTTGCGTAGAAGGAGTTCCTGCCGAAGTATCATATCCAGGTTTCCAGTTTGATCCTGGTTTCGGTGTGGTCCCGAAACTTCCAATAGGTTTATCACCATGATCAGCATTCCAACTTGGTACAGGATTCTGTGAGGAAGGGACTCTTGAAGTTCCAAATCCTGTATTCCAACTTGATCCAGGTTTCGACGTGGTCCCGAAACTCCCGACAGGTGTGTTACCATGGTCTCCGTTCCAATTTGACGCAGGTTTATGCGAGAAAGAATATCCCGTTGTTGGAATACTACCAAATCCAGTGTTCCATCCTTGTTCAGGTTGCAGTGTCGTGCCATAGCTACCAACAGGCGTACCATCGTGTGCACTATTCCAAGGTGTTTCAGGTTTCTGGGAAGCAAGAAATCCACTACCTGGAGTAACGGTGTTCCAGTTTGTTCCAGATTTCGGCGTGGTTCCATAACTTCCAACAGGCTTCTGCGGGGAAAAAAATCCTGTCGCCGGTGGAGTACTTCCGAGTCCAGTACTCCATATTGGGCTTGGTGTCGTTCCGAACGTGTCGCCATGTCCGCCGCCCCAAGCAGGTTTTGGCGTGGAGCCAGAACTAACCGATGTTGTTTCTCTGTTCCAGCCTGTTCCTGGCCCATAACTCGGTATTGTCACAAAATTATGTGCGGTTACGCCGCCGTATCCTGGCTTTGACGTACTGGTAAACGGAGTGTTCCAGCTAGATCCAAGATTCGGTGTCGATCCATAATTACCGGTTGATCCTGCGTGTCCGGTACTCACCGGGAAATTGGTAACCTTAAAAGGACCATCGGGTTTACTTCCTTTAATTCCTCCTTTAACATCGTCGCCATATATAGGTCCTGTTTTATGTACTCCAGGTGGATTCGGTCCAAATGTGTGTCCTCTAGGTCCATTTCCACCATGATGATGTGTTTTATCGGGTTTATATTGGCCATCATCACCGTCGTCGCATTCGTCTTCATTGTTCTCATCCCTTCCCTCTTCTGTCTCATCTCGCTCCCAGTAGTCGTCATTTTCCCATTTGCATTTAGAGCAGTCATCACCATCCTTATTATGGTCATGACCTTCGCTTTTCGTTCCACGATGATGACTGAGAGATTTTACTCCACGATTAGCGTCGCTGTCGTGAGGGAAATTAATATTGTCATAGTTACGAATTTCTCTATGTCTTTCGTTGACTCCAGGAGAACTTCCTGTTCCTGCAAATGCACCTGTAAACGCATTGGCGCCATTTAATGCAGATGCGCCGGCAGTACCGGCTGATGCCACGGCTCCAGCATACGCATTGGATGATGCACTGCCTGCAGCACATAAAAATATGTTTCTTTGTTATTATTATATCTTGGTAGAACGCCATCGCAAGTTACGACATCAAGATTTATTTTTATTACATGATGCGATGAATAAAATATAATTATATCGCGAGAAATAAATGAAAAGGAAGATATGCGATTTCAAGCGATTTGGGGAACAGGTAGAAAATGTTGGATATTTTTTTATTTTTTCAATAAAACATAAATGAATTTAAATAGTATTTCTCAATGGTTAAGAATAATATTCCTTAATTTAAATATTTCTAAACTGAGAAAAATATCGTATTTTCCTAAAATTTGAAATCTCGATTTTTCCGCCAATAAGTCATAAATTTGTAATAACTCGTTTCTAACAGAAAATATCTTTGCGAATAAAAAATCACGCTTTCCTTCGTAGATAGACGAACAATCCTATATGCAGGATGTCTGTTGCAAGCCATGTCATTCATTATATACTTGTAATTTATGCCAATGTGGATAAAGAAATTCTCTACCATTTTGTAAACACACGAAATTTCAAATTATTAAGTATTGAAAATAGCCATATATACAGGCTTCTTTAATTAATAACTCAAAAATTTGCTTGTTATTTGCAAAATAATAAAAGATTTTCTTGTTCAAAATGACCCAATCTATCTTAACACATTAAGGGCGGGAGTCGTAGTACTACGATTTATCTCGACTGCGGCTTAAAGGCGGGAGTCGTAGTAATACGATTTAGCTCGACTGCGGCTTAAAGGCGGGAGTCGTAGTAATACGATTTAGCTCGACTGTACCTTAAAGTTTTTATGATCACACAAAATATCGCCCGCTCTAGGCCGAAAAACGAGGCGGGCGGCCGCCGCGCTACCTAGCATACTTTCGTCGAGATTGCCCGCCGTTAATGTGTTAAGTGTATAATAGCTATTGTATCTAACGACATGTTCAAAGTTCGAGGTTCCATGTTCAATATTGCTATCTGTCAGACACAGCTGTCATATACTTGTAGATTAGGCCTCTTTGAATAAGAATGTTCTTTATCATTTTGCAAATTTTTAAGTTATTAATTAAAAAAGCCTATACATGAGGATTTTTAATAATTAATAGCTTGAAATTTTATAGTTTGCAAAACAGCACAATACTTTTTTGTTCACATTAACTTAAGCTATAAATATTTGACAGATGGCTCTGCTTGCGTCAAACACTCTGTATAATCATGACGCGATGCAGAGAAGGCCTCTGCCATATAAGATAAAGATGATTTCACTGGCATGCACACATAAAAAGAAATATTTATACGTACTAAAAGCGTCACTGCTGCCTGCATTGTTGGTTGCACGTGCATCTGAGAAATTAAAATAATATATAAATTTGGAATATTTTACAAACAATAATTGTTAAGCATATAAACAAAGCGCAAATTAAACTTTGGATAAAGCACTTGTTTTCGAAAAAAATAACAGTTGTATGTCGCGTGAATTGAATCGATTGTCAAACGTATTTTTGGAAATCACAAAATCCCAGGTAGCCAAATCTGCGCAAGTAGATTCCAAGTAGAGTCTGCTATAAATTTTTGATGGCAGAGAGGCAACAAATCTGACACAGAATCTGTTCTACCCGACGATATTTTCAAATTGCCACCAGAAATTTGACAAAACCTGCTCACATGCTATGCCAGCAGATTGACGGCAGATTGATGACAGAAATCGAACATACTTTACTAAACGCAGTTTGGTGACAGGATCTAGTCGGTTTCTGCGCCAATCTGCCGGTAAATCATGGCAACAGGTTCTGTCGATAGAACACGAGCTTAATGCAGACACATGGATCTATAGACAGGTCGAATTTGTCGCCAATCTGTCGGCACACTGCTAACGGATTGTTTACCGGGATATTTTCATATATTTATATATTTCTTTAAACACAAACAGAAAGAAACATAAATAAAATATCCGTTAAAGATGTTAATTAGTATTTAAATAAAAATAATAAGAATCTTAAGAACAGAAATTCCTTTCTCAAAGAAAAGAAAAATGTGTTTACAATAAACATATTTATTTCTAAAGTATAACTCGGACTTTCGTTTTCTACATGCAATTCTTTGAATAAAATTAAAAGGCATTTTATATATGTAATATTAAACATACGAGTAATCAATTCCTCCATGTAGTCGTAATAGTTTACGTGTAAAAATGTATTTTCATTTTTAGAATATACAAATCGTTCAGTTTCTCACGGATGTAATCACTCGAATGGTATTAAAATTAACTTTACGACGCGAAACTACCTGAGCTGATGAAGAAAGAGCACATGACAGAAATCTGCAGAAAACATTTCAAGATGTCACTCAACATTTCGATTGGACAGGAAACGAACGCGTAAGAGTTGCTTTGCCGATTGCTCTTCGTATACTGCGGCACCGGTTATCGATCCTTTGCCAGGAGGATTCTAATCGGCAGCTTATATATACACACACACATATATATATATATATATATACATATATATATATACAAGGATACCCCCAGCAGTGAAAGGAATCTAAATGCCGCAAGCGATCATCGAAGGTAGCATCATCGGCTACATGCGAGTTAATATACATTGTCGAACGGCATTGAGTAATTATTATTTCGCGCTATTGCTAGTAACAAGCGTACTTGTGTGATATAATAGAAACAGCACAACTGGTTTATGAAACAATCCGCTACGGTGAAGATGACTGCGTCATCGTTCCTTAGGAGTTTCCCCGCCCGAGACATCAATATTCGTCACGTTTGTTGAGCATCCTGAATGGTATGCCGTGAGCAAATAAGCTAAATCCGTGTCTCTCATGCGTTTTCGAACACTCGAAGTCGTCAATCTTTCTTTGATTTGCCCTTGCAAATGATAATTCGCGTAAAGATAAAAATGATTATAGTGTCATGATCGTTATAAATTATGAAGCCACATTTGTTTGTATATAAATTGCGGTTGTAATTTTCGTTCAAGAGATATCATTAATTAGTATGCACGTACTAATCTTCCAAGTTTGTTCTAACGGATTCCAATGGCATTCTTGCAACCCAGATGATGATTGTAAAATTGATTTTTTAAATATAACTTTTATTTCGCGAATTTCGATCAGTGTCCACTTGTTGATATCATATCTATTTTTAAAAGTATATCGAAAAAGTCCTCTATTTCATAAATTATATGTATACCCTCTTTTGGAAATATACCTGTCCGATTGTTTGACCAGAATAGCGCGGATTGTAGTAGGTGTTTTGACAACAGTAGACTGGTTTTTCGGCGAATCATTTGCATCGGAATATGCCGGGATTCTTTTCGCATTGTGTGAACTTTGGTAATATGAATGTCGCAGAACTATGCGATTATTATGCGAATGTGTTAGAGAACAAAGCGAATCTACGATTCATTGTGTAATAACTCGTGACCATGTGCGTATTTTTAGAACGTACGTACCTATTGTAAAATATCACTTCTATTGTCCTCCAAATGCCAATATCCTGGATGTAAAATACGATCGTAATTAAGAAAATACAGGAAAAAAAAAACAGCGCAGATCTTACAACTGACTAACGTAGAAATCAACGAAGATGTTATCAGAATAAAGGAATCAATTTTCTTATTACCATACGCTACATCCATGTTAAGAAATTAATCGCATGACCAAGAAAATTCACAATAGCGGATATAGAATTATTTCAAACAAATTTGTTAGAATTTATCTGTTGAATTAAAGAAAATCAATATGAAATCTGCTACATGCCAAGTTCAGTTATTTAATGAAGTTTAATTTATATCATACAGTTGCGCCAGATAGTGAATAGAAGTTTATAGAGAATTCATTTGAATAAATACCTACAGAATTAGAAAAATGATATCTAAAGGATTCTTGAAGAATTAATCGCAATCAAATTTGTCCTGAAGTATTCTTCAAAATGTATTATAACGTAACTCAATACTTCGAGTATTTGAAAATTCGTAAGAAATTACTATCCAATGAACATCAATTAACAATAACATAACATCAATGTTATAATTCAACAACGTAACTGTTATATAACACATGCATTACATTGAATTGTTATATAACACATGCATTACATTGCATTTATATTGTTGAGCGGGAAGTTATAACATTGATGTTATATCCCGACAAAAAATATAACTGCTATATAACATAGAAGTAACATATAATATATCGGATGTTACCCTATTAACATTGATGTTAATCGCTTTTATACCTAATCCGTAACTTTGTTTCATAATTATAATACAGAGTGACCATTGGGATTGTGTCTAAAATAAACGATTATATTTTCCTTCTTTGATTTCGGCGGTTTAACTAATTAGGTTCCGGCACTTGAGGCCTGTCAATTTTATTCAAACCGGTTTATCAATATTAGAACGAACGCTTTAAGCATTGAAGAAAAATTAATGTTTCATATCTAGTGCTTCTACAATAGAGGCAAAAATTATACAGCGGCGGTATCGTGGATTCCGTACTAAATATGGATAATTTCAGTTTACTTCTTCAAGATGAGGAATAACTCGGGATCAACCTGTAATCTCGGGTCGCATCTCATTTTAAAGAAATATACTTTTATTATATCATGAATATACGCATTTACGCATATACTTCCATTATAATATTTTAAGCCCATATTAGATTACGGATTGGGAATTGAGATTAAATTAAATTTAGCCAATCAATGCAAAATTAACTGAACTCAAGTTTAATGAAATTTAGTGAACTTTGCATTAATTAGTTAAATTTCAATTCAATCTCAATCTCCAATCCGTAGTCTGATACGGGCTTTAATAACTATAATAAATGCTATCGTATATTTACGCAAACTTGTTTATGTCATCGCTGTTCTTCGCTTAACCCTTTGCTATATTCATATTCCTATCCCGACGCAGAGCTCTCAACATCCCAGGTAGCGCTGATGAATGCAGGTGGACCTAAAATAAGAGAGTAAACATCATCCTTAATGACTTCTGCCCGCAGGATGCGGCAATGCTTGTCGCGCGGCAGAAGTTGGCACAGTAGCCAATCAACGTGCCGTGTTTCGGTGAGAACTAGAAATTTATTGGCTACCGCTCAAACTTCCGTCGCACGGTAAACGTTATCGCGTCCTGTGAGCAGAAGCCATAATATCCTAGTGGGAATAGGGACATTACATGTTATATATGTTTCCGAACGCAACTCTTGTACATTTATTATATTAGTGCAGCCAGTTCAGCTAAAAAGAACAGACCGAAAGTTGAATCGATTGATTGACGCCACGACGCGCTTCATGGTCGCCATTCGCGTACAGTGGATCTTGAAAGTTTAGAGTGTTAAAGGTAGTGATACCGTTTTTCGTAGTAAATTTCATTTGGCTTTGTTTTAGATTTCGGCGAGAAGATATTGTTATTTGTTAGTGAATTTGTTAAATCGTCTTTTTGTATTGTATACTTCTTTATCGAGTGCAACAAATATATTCCAAGCTATGTGTGAAACTTGGTCTTTTCTGGACACACGTTTGTCAATATGTAGATTTAATTTCAAGAGATTTTTCTTATGAATATTATATAAATTTTACTATTACTTCAACTTCATAATCTACAAGATTCATTTGATGTTCTTTATGCACCAAAAATATGGCTTCATACTTGAACATACTTGACATAATCATCTGTAACTCTTAAAATTAGAAGTAATTTTCTGTTATAATGGTGGAAACGTTATTCTTGATATATGCTTATATTAAAGAAATTTATAATTATTGATCAATTATTACAATTTGAAGTATCCTGAAAAACTATTGATTCACATACTGATCACAGCACCTAATTTGTAATGTACATGATGTACATAATGTTAGATTGAATATATTAAGTTATATGTTTTAATCAATTATTTCTTTATATTTCAGTTATAAACATTTAATATTTTATAAAGATGGCAGACTCCGACGATGAATATGATAGGAAAAGACGTGACAAGTTTAGAGGTGAAAGAACAGAATCTTATTCACGAGAAGGACGTAGGGATGATCGTAGGCGTGATGATTGGGTAGATAGGTATAATTCACTTCAAATCATCTATACTGTTTTCTACATATATTTTTTGTTTTCTACATATATATTTTTTATATAATAAATGAAATTCTTACTCTGTTCTCTTGATGGTGTATAATCTGTTTAAAGAAATTATTATTATATATAGAGACGTATTTTTTAAATATTATTATAGTTATACTAATAAAGAGAGTGATTTTTATAGAGATTGGTCTAGTCGTCCTAGACAGCGTCCTGATTATCGAGATTATCGAGGTGGAGGCAGTGGAGGACGTGATCGTTATAGTCCTGCAAGGTCTCAAGAAATGGCACCGCCTATGAAACGAATGCGATTTGACTGGGATGACAGACCGCGATATGGACACGATTATTATGGTGGTCGAAATGATGGTGGCAGTGGTGGAGGTGGTGGTGGTGGTGGTGGTGGTGGAGGAGGTGGTGGTGGTGGAGGAGGAGGAGGAGGAGGAGGCAGCGGGGGTGGTGCAAGTTCTTGGAGTCCAGATCATTATCCACCTCCTCACCATAGTAACCATCACTATGGTAACCACAGTAACAGTAGCAGGTTCGTTTGTTCTATCATGTCTGAATGTTTTTGCTTCTCCAAATTTTATTGGACCAGAATAAGTAATAAATAATGAGGAGAACAGGATTTATAAGAATTCCACTGAAACGGAGTCGTTTAACTCCAAGATTATTAGCTAAATTAAGGTAGTTTCACGTATAATACTTTTATTAAAAGATGTACCATTGCTATTTATTTTTTAAAAATCATTTCTTACAAGCATATGAATAAGATATATTGTAGCTTAATAGTTAAAACTTAATACATAAAATACAAATAAAAACTTGGTAATTATATAATATGTTAAACAACTTAAAATGGTCTATGTTTTATATTACACATATATTCAATTAATAGTACAAGTTGAGAGAAGTTATTTTATAAGAGTAAATATAAAATATAAATAGTATAAGTAATATTAAAGTATTAATACAAAATAAATATAAAACATAAATATAATTATAATTTGTTTTCAGTCGAGAAGTAGCTGGAAATTTCAGTAATTCAAATGTCGAGACCCAGCCACCAATGATGTCATTCAAAGCATTCCTTGGCACCCAAGAAGACACTATTACTGATGAAGAGGCTATTAAACGGTACAATGAGTACAAGTCGGAATTTAGGAGACAGCAGATGAATGAATTCTTCGTCGCCCATAAGGACGAAGAATGGTATATTAATTTTTATATTTTTCTCTCATATATATACATTTTTTGAGGGGGGTTTTGTTTGTTTTTACGTTATAGGATTCGAATCAATTCATCACAGCATTTCCAATGGAAAATTAACTTAATTTCTATAGTAGCTAAATTTTCCTTACTTTTAAATAAATAAACAATATTTTTAATATTGCCAACTTAATGCAAAAATTGATTTTTCTTACCATTTTTTTTCATTGATTTACTATCCATTGAAGAGATCGACAAATTAGTAGAGATCAAAATAGCCGCTGTAAGATTTGTCGGTCATACAGAATTCTATTTGTGCATGTACGTGTTTAACTACATGCCTGGAGAAAGTAGAAGATGGTTGATAATTTTTGCTACATTGCAGACATACGATGTTGTAGCTAATTCCAAACAATATGACCAGTTCTGTCTATTCCTACAGCATATCGCCGCCATCACCTTATACCTTGGGCACTGGTCATCTCGCTCGTTTATTTTTTCATGCAATATTTTATGCATTTCGCGTTTCGCGCATCGCTGAAGACACGAGGTGCCTGTTAGGTAGCTAAATAAATTGCGAGCTGGGCGCGCAAAGCCCAAATATGCTCGCGTATAGGCCGCGTTCTAAACCCGTTATTTATTTTCACATTTGAGTACTTTACAATAAGATTCTGTGTCGACGAGAAAACCAAATGCGAGTAGAAATATGACTACAGGTGAGACCTCATATTGTAACTGACAATGTTGATATCTCGTTTAAGATATATTCGCAACATATGTCGGATTACAAACCATAAGTAATAATTCGAATTTAACTAAAGCAATATTTCGATTTTGAATTTATTATAGTTGAAATTAATGACGACAGCTACGTAATAATTTGAAATCTTTTACTAATAATTCATTCTGTCATTTGATTATATATTTTCTTCCACATGCTCTACCAAGGCTACATTCCGAAACGTTCTTTTCAAGGAAAATTTTACTTTCAATGACTCGAAACTTGATGAGCATTTCCGATTGCTTTCTCTTCTGTAACTCAAAAGCCACCGAGTAAAATTTTCCTCGAAAAGAACGTTTTGGGATGTGGCCTAAGATAACTCTTGTCATTAAGTTATACCACAGGTATATTCCCATGTAGGAGTTATAATTGATTTAAAATAGGAGTTTTCAGTTTATGGGTATATATATATATGCGTATTTATGCATAATATGAAGAGGTAAATGTGATTCGAGTATTTGTTTTTGATTCTGTAATTTATCGAGAAGAATTGTTCTGGTTTAGATATTTCGTATATATATATATGTGTACGAAACACTTATTTAGAGAAAAAAGGCGTTGGTTTTATACGCGTTGCCTTTTTTAAATTACAGAATTTGCCGCATCACTGAGCTATACGTATGTGCATTTCAATTCAAGATTTATATAATATCGGTACCGATGAAATTACTAATTGTTTTGTGAGCGTTCGCTTATTGTGCTTTTTCTTGTTGATCGCCAGGTTCAAAATAAAATATCATCCTGAGGAGTCAGTGAAGAGGAAAGACGAACAAGTGTCAGCTCTTAAGGTAGATACTGTGTTAATATTTACGACGCATCTATTTTTGAATTTTTTTATACAATCGACAAATTTACTTAACATTGGTCACCGAACGAATCTCGATTTCCTTTTATCTTAGAAACGGGTGGAAGTTTTCCTGGAGATGTTAAAATTGGGCGAAATAGATAAGGTGTCTGTCGATGCTGATCAAGCTGATGTATTACTTCGCCTCTTGGATGCAGTAGTTATTAAACTGGAAGGGGGTACGGAGGAAGATTTGCAGATTTTGGATGTTAAGCCACCCAAATTGTTGATGACTAAAGATATCTCAAAGGAGAAAGAAGAGAACAAGAATAAACTTGTTGTAGAAAAGAAACATGAGAAGAGGTATTATAAAAAAATTATATATATTAGACGATAAGATATTAAAGTATAATATTCACTCTGTTATATTCCATAATATTATTTTTCTCTTTTCTTTATTTTAGTGATGAAAATAAAATAGATGATATACAGCAGAGTGAGAAAGGGTCGAAAGATTGTGAGAACATCAATATGGAAGTCGTCAATTCGGGAAAAGACGAAAACGCAATATCTGATTCTGCCAAAATGAAGGAAAACGACGAATATAAAGACGTCGAAGAGGTTGCTAATGACGACAAGTCACGTATGTAACTAATGTAATCTAAACATTTTACACAGAAATTCTTCACTCATATAAATTACAACCTATCTCATTGCAGCAGAAAAATCAGAAATGACGAGGAAACGAAAACGTACCGATAGCAATAGTAGCAGCAGCAGTAGTACCAGTAGTAGTTCTTCTGGTAGTGACAGCAATAAACCAGATACACCAAAACCAGAAATTCGTAAGTACAAGTAAAAAAAAATTGGTACTTTTTATGTATTTCATCCTGTTACCACTGTTATCTTTGTTTTGAAATAAATTACTATTATCATCAGCTGTTAATGAGAAAATGGAAGCCAATAATGAAGAAGTCGATGAAGGAAATACTAAAGAGGAGGATCAAGAAAGAAAGATGGAATTAGAAGCTACAGATAGCAAAAAGGCGATGATTGAACCAGAAGCAGTGATTGATTTGGCCAGTGAAGATAAAGAGAAGGAACCTAGAGCTTTGCACAAAACTAGTAGCATTTTTCTTCGTAATTTAGCGCCCACTATTACCAAGGCAGAAGTCGAAGCGGTTAGTTATGATATTTCATTTATTAATTAATATTTCAATAATTCCCCCTTACATTGAATAATTCACAGAATCTTTCCTTCATTTTAAGCATAACATTCATATTAACTATAATTTATCAGTATTTGCAATATTTCGTTATAGATGTGTAAACGGTTTCCCGGATTTTTACGCGTGGCTATAGCAGATCCACAACCGGAGAGGCGATGGTTCCGTCGTGGTTGGGTTTCGTTCGAGAGGCAAGTGAACATTAAGGAAATTTGTTGGAGTTTAAATAATATCCGAGTAAGTTTATTAGTTATTTTTAAAGAAATATCGCCAAAATGAAATATATCTTTAATCCATATATTTTTCTTATGCAGCTTCGCGATTGTGAATTGGGCGCTATAGTGAACAGAGACTTATCTCGACGTATTCGATCAGTAAATGGTTTAACCTCGCACAAACAGATCGTTAGGCATGATATTAAGTTGAGCGCTAAGATTGTTCATAATTTAGACAACAAGGTGGGTTTATGGAACGAAGAGAAGAAAAACGAAGGCGCGAAGCTAGATGACGATAAAGAAAACAAAACCGTCGAGAGTAATCATGAGATGGAGCAAGCCGTAAGCAAAATTTGTTGTATGTTACTATTTATTAAAAGTGATCAAATGATATCAAATTGCATGCATCACTTTAGGCTTTTGGATTGTCGTCGAAAAATCCAGTATTGAAAAATATAACGGACTATTTGATAGAAGAAGCATCAGCTGAAGAGGAAGAATTGCTGGGCATGTCGGGAGATCAAGAAGAAGGTCAATTGGGTGACGGAGATAGCTCAATTGAAAGAGATCCTGTTTTAATAAAGGTAAGTTAACTTACAACGCGGATTGTGATGACTAGAATATGATTTATCTTTTACACGATATTAACATTGTTTCTCTATGTAGGTGTTGGACAGATTAATATTATATCTGCGAGTCGTTCATTCCGTCGACTATTATAATCATTGCGAATATCCAAACGAGGATGAAATGCCAAACAGATGCGGCATAATGCACGTGAGAGGATCTCCGCCTACCGCTAAGATTGCAAGCGCCGAATTATCGGAATATTGTCGTAATTTTGAAAGTAAGATGTCTGCTTTTTTACAACCCGTTGCGACTTTATCTACCGAAGAGTTCGATAAATTAGGTGCGAAGAATGCCGAGGCGTATCCTTTTCTATGTACTACGAAAATATGCAGAATAATCAGTAACAATGATTTATATTTAAGAATTTTATATTAATTGTGGCTTATTGAACATTTGAATTGTAATACAATGAACTTTAGTCTTTTGACTTTATTATCACTTATTACTATATTTTTTATTAGTGATAGTCATATTTCAAAATTACCTTCCATTTAATGAAATATGTCATAAACCATATTTCCTTAATATAAAAACAGTGAAGTTGAAAAATTCGTACAAGCCAACACTCAAGAATTATCAAAGGATAAGTGGTTGTGTCCTCTTAGCGGGAAGAAATTCAAAGGGCCCGATTTCATTCGCAAACATATCTTTAACAAACATTCTGAAAAAGTTGCTGAAGTTAAAGCAGAAGCTGAATATTTTAATAATTATTTGAGAGATCCGAAGAGACCTCAACTTCCTGAACACCCTGGCAACAAGACCCCATTGAGAGATGGACCGCGCGAGAGTTTCCCGCCATATGGTTGTAGCTCGTAAGTACAGAAATTATAAGGAATTAGTCATATTTGACACATACACATACACACGCACGCACGCACGTATGCCCGCACATATCATTATTACGTATAAAATTATTTTCTCATTTCTCCAATATAAAATACAAAAGATTCTTTATGTAACACGCGTGGAATGCTTTCAACAATATTATAACACACACACACACACACACACACACACACACACACACACATGTATGTATGTATGTATGTATATACTATATATGTTCTATATGTTAATATTATATATATACATAATATTATACAACATATATAATATATATAATATATATAATATTATACAATATAAATATGTTTATTAACAGATTTGGAAGTTACGGCGGTGGATATGGCGGTAGCAGAGGTGGTTATGGTTCTAGCTACAGCGGTGGATTTGGCGGTGGTTTCGGCAATCCACGTCCCAATCGAGGCGGTTTTAATCGAGGCCGGTAAGCAATTTTTTTCTTTTATTTTGTTGCAGAATATCGATGAAGTTAAATACGTCCAGATACATGGTCGGTGAATTTATAAGGAAAGTTTATACAGGTGGTGCACAACTTTATTTTGATAAATAATGCGTTGATAAATTGTGCGTACGTAATTAACGTTAAGTCAAGTTTTAAGAAGCTCATGCTGCAAGTACATTCATGGCCCATTGGAGTTAATAGACTGAATATGGTGATACAATGTTTTACAGGGCAGCTCCGGATACTTCAAGACCTATTGTTAGTTATAATGACTTGGACCAGCCAGACATGGATATGTTCTAAGTTTTGTTGAAATGTACGCAAGTAATTTCCGTCGGATTTAGTAATGTCAAACATTCATGCTATTACAGATTCTGTGCTAACAGATTTATATCTGGATTATGTAACACACTGTTGATAAAAGAGATAAAATTAATATCGTTGAAAATGGTGTTACAAAATCAGCACAATTTTTTATCTCAATCATAAACGAACTAAATTCACTTATAGTAGGAGAAAAGATATCTATACGCACACCACGTATCTTTTTGGAATAACCTTACATTAAATATAAAAATTGTTGCTACAATGTGTTATTACCTATATGTCCACAATGACTGTTATATAACGGAAAATTAAAGCAATTTATATTTTATACTAAAAATTTAGCAATATTTCCTTCTTTGGTGTAAATTAAAAATAAAAATTTCCACGATTTTTCCACTTTTGGCATGAAAATATTTATTTATCTAGATTTAGATGCCCTAGATTTCCAGTTAGCTACAAAAGCAAACAAAAAAAACATCTTTATGTTGATCTTCATTTTATTGAAATAATTTCAGAATATCATAATGAAATCTTAAGACGATGCCAGTGCAATTTTTTGAATCCGAGGATCCGCCAACGTTGTAAATTTATAACAAAAATAAAAAATAAATCTATTTGTTATTAATAATATCTTATTTTATTTTATCCTATTTCCGTTTAAACCCTATGTCCGGTTGGTCATCGTATCACAATATCATGACGTTATATTAATTCTCAATGGCCAAATTGCATATGTAATGTACATAATAGTAACAGTAAAATAGTATATAAAAGTAATAAATTATTGCTAATAAAATATATATTTCAACAAGATTTGTTCAGTATATTATTGGCGAAGCTCTTAATATGAATTTGTTTCTTTCTCTTCGACAGAAGTAATAGAAGATATGTTTTAACTAAATATAGAAATCTTGCATGTACAGGAAGCCGAATACATTAATGTGATTATTTTATATAATATTGATGTTCTTCCATTTGTTCTAAATAAATTTTTAACATTCCAGTGGCGGTAGTAGTGACTTTCGACCAGTCATACATTATCGAGATCTCGATGCACCACGAGAACCGGACGAATTCCTATAAGATGATCAAGTGTGAGGAGTGGACTAGAGAACTAAGAACAATATGAGGATATAGTCATTTTACTTAAAACTGTTTAGAATTTAAACATTATTAGTGTGAAAATAATTACCATAAGTACGCAAATACATAATTGTGCACGAAATATAATGAAAGCTGTTATATATGTCTCACATACCAAATCGATTTCGTATATTTCTGAACAATAATTATATTCAAAGAAAGTACGCAACTATGCATTATGAAACAGTGAACTTTGCTTTTGTTTGTTGTAGTAATAGAATATGTATTGCGATATGTATAATTTACGGTATTCTTATAGATAGAAAAAGGTTACAAACCTAGATTACATAATTTCGTGTAATTATAACCATGTAATAATGATTATGAATATATGTAGTTGTAATCATTATTTGCAATGTAATATGTGAAAATATTAAAATTTAGAATTATAATAAAAAAAAAATCATATAAAAATGCTAAAACGTGTTATTTCTTCAAGATTATTGAAAAAAATGCAAAAGAAAGGAGGGAAAAAATATTCGGCATTGAATTTAATAAATAAAGCTATTCAAGAATATATATTTTTTTATATTTCTATATTTATACAACACGCTATATACATTACTTACATTTATTTATTACATTACACTGTACTTACATTTATTTGTTTGTTTATATTTAATTAAAATCAGCATTTGACTTTTCCCTGATAATATCCCAGACAACACAAATATCTAAAAAAACCTCTTAATCTTTTCGCAACGAACGGCCACTATAATAGTCGTTCGCAAAAGTATGTAAAAATTGTTGCTAATGACAGAAGCAAAATCGAAATGAAATTATGGCCTGAAGATCAAACTTTGTTCTATCTGTGCGTGAGTTCTGTCTGCCATAAAATGCATGCTCACATCTTGTTCTTCCGTACAGCCTTCGTATAGTGGCGGTCAACTCCGCTGTCGTGAAAAGACATCTAAACAATGGGCCGTCTATTGGATGTATATAGCGTCTGTTGGGCGTCTTTAAGATATTTTTTTAGTTTGTGCTATCTAGGATCTCTCTTCTCACATACTTGTATTAGATAAATCTATTTTTACAATGTCTCTCGTCTGTGCCATCTCCACAGTCGTCCACTCCGTTACATTTCATCCCTTTCGTAATACATCTACCGTTTCTATATACAACAAAAATATTTATGTATAAAGATGTCAATACTATTGATGCACAAATTTACGAATTCTTTTCTAGAATAGAAGACTTTGGTAAAAGTTCACAATAAGGGCTTCACTGATAGTTAGAAAGAGTTTTGTTTAACAGAACGAAAATATTAAATGTGTATAAAAATTTTAGTTGTTTTTCTCATAAATATTCGCTTTATTTTTCTATAGTCAGAAGACTAAAACTTTTGCACACACATAATACTCATTAGTTATTATTTTTTTATTAAAATATGGATTTATCGTTCTTGAAAATTTTAAAGCATTAATTTATATTATTATATTTATATACCCAGCAAACACCAAGTTACAGTTACATAACTCAGTTATAATTTCCTACTCAACGATGTAACTGTTACGCGTGTGTTATAACTAACAGTTATGTAACTGTAACTTGGTTAGAGTTTGCTGGGTGGTAGCGTACTTACTGGCATGTAAATTCGTGTTTATTGCATTTTCCTTGGCAGCCGTGAGGTTCATCCGATTCATCGCTACAATCTGCTAAACCATCACAGAAGCGAACTTTTAATATGCATTCCCCGTTGTTACAAGTAAATTCGTTCTCCGTAGGGCAAGCTAAAATAAGAATCGGAAATTTATAGTAGATCGAAATTAACAACACATAATCTCCGAGTAGAGCCAAACCTGCGCAAACAGATTCTGAGCAGAACCTGTTACAATTCAGACAACATAATGTCTAAAAATGGGACATAAGACATCATAAAAACGTCTTTAATACACGTGTTATATTTAACAGTTACATTGTTGAGTAGGAAATTATTAACAGTTATGTAATTACAACTTGATGTTTGCTGGGATCTTAATTAAAGCCTTAAAGCAGAATGGCTCGGTTTAAGACAAAGTATTATGTCTTAAATTTTTGTCTTTAAGTAACGTACAATAACTATTTTGTGTCTCGAGTCTTAAACTAAAAAGCTGTTCTGCCTAATAAGCAAGAAATATTAAATAAATCTTTTGAAACATTGATCTTATGGATTTTATAAACATTTTAACATAATATTTTATAAATGTTCTTAAACTGTTACTTGATAATATAATATTCCTAAATATTAAAATCATATTGCATAAATATTATTTTTAATGTTTGAGTCAAATATTGTTAACAATGATATTTTGTACAACATTAAGAACTGATTTGATGATTTCTTGCTTACTGGGTGCCCTAATAGCACAATTTATGTGCGATATATTAATCCAATATTGATTGTATTGGCATTTATTGGGAGCATATAGAATGAATGTTGCCTAATATAAAGTCAGCCAAACAATCGAAATTTTAAAAGCAGATTTTACGTAGATCTGATATACATTTTTTAAACAGTTTACCAGCAGAAATATAAAGGTTTGGTTAGCAGAGCATGGTAATAGATTAATCAGATAGATTATCAGATTCTGTTAGCAAATCCTATTATATTTTTGCTGATAAGCTATCGACAAAATCTGTAGCAGATACCGTGCAAAATCTACATCTGCAAGTAGTACTTAAAAAACAAAAGAGGAAATTACGAAGAAGCGATACGTGGATAACATGATATGCAAACAATATACTTCACCGGTGGAGGAATAAATGTCATTTCATAACTACCGATGTTACCGGTAGAATGTACCGTTTGCATGACATTTTACACGCGTAAAATCACGACACGATAGCACTATAAAACTTCTATGCGTTGATCTCACTGGTTCACAACATTCTTTTCTTTGAAAAGTAATAATAATAATAATTATTATTATTCGGCAGTGTGTAAGTGGACACATTCTTTAATATTTTTTTTTACAATTTTTCATATATTACTGTGTGAAAATATATACTTCTACATATATATCACATATCACCGCAATACAACATAACATTAACATTCAACGGACATATCGGACAAGAGACATGTTGTCTTATCGTTAATGCGATGAAACGCTGGAATGCTCACCTAACGTGCAATTAATTTCGTCTGTTGCGTCCCAGCAATCTATCTTTCCGTCACATCTTCTTTCCAACGGAAGGCAGGAAGTTTCGTTACCGCATTGAAAATGTGTCTCCAAGTTGCAGACTGAAAAAGAACATGTAATGCTATATAATAGAATTACATTCTACTTGCCTTACGTACTCTGCATCCATATTTCTCGGAATATTCGGTACGTCTATATTAAATGTAATGAGGGTATTCTCGTCCTATTCTCGTATCCTATTCACTTTTGACCAGACATCGTGTTTAAATGCTCTCTCATATTACGCACAAAATGATGTAATCCTTCCATCACGCATGTACCATATCGATAATCTTTCAGCTAAAGGCATATGTTCTAAGAACTGAGATAATGTATTCACCAAGAAATTGGAATAAGCAGCGATGCTGATGAAATCTTTTGTTACGAAGTATGTATAGAAATCGAACGAGGATATTCAAAACATGGTTTATAAGCACTAAGATAAACATCGAATGCGACACGTAGAAGCCAGTAAGTAAATCATGATGTTAATATACAAGAATGTTTGTATATTATTAAATGTAGAACTTAATTCTCTATTATTATTATATTATATATTATTTTAATAAAGTTTTTGTTCTTATGCAATTTTACTCTTCTTAGGAAGAGTCGAAAAATCGAAGTAAAAAAAATCATTCGAAGGAGAAATATCATGTATAATAGCATTGTAAAATAATGCTACTTGTTTTCAAATTATACACTTTAAAATAAATATGATTTAGACAACTTCGCTCTTTGTTCAAATCGTTAATCTCACTTATACTTACTGCAATCGTATTCGTCCGAATGATCGTAGCAGTTCATGTGACCATCGCAATGCTTGTTCATGGGGATACATAAAGTGTTAGAGCACGTCCACTCGTTTTCCAGGCAGTAATGTTCTATCTTTACGCACCTTTAGTAGATAATAAACAATAAAACAAATAATTCTATTGCTCAAAGTATATTTTTCTATTAAATAATTATCGCCGGCTTTGTATGTCACTATGACTGATCAACATGTCTCTCGTTTGAAAAAAAAAAACTCTGTTAATCGTCATCGGGTAATCCATCAATGACAAGTAATAGCAATGGAAAACGATCAATAACAAGTATCGACAAACCTGAAGGCGTCCACATCGAGACGATGGCATTTCTCCTTATTGATGGCACAGAAACCGGCGCATCCGGTAGGATCTTCGGGATCGTAAGGGCTTCTGCATATCGGCACTTCCTCGTTAACAAGGGCGATGCATACTTCACCTTTGAAGCAACTGTCGCAATGTCTGGTCGCGTTCTGACTCGCATCTTCCGTTTCCGCATCTGTCGACGGCAAAGAAATCTTCGGAAGTGACGAGTCGCCGTTTAAAAGCGCGCTCATCGGAAACGCGTCGGCACTCGTCTTCATCATCGCCAAAGTGGTCGTCGTGTTTACCAAATTCGGCACGTTGTTCGAAATTACGGGCGTGAGTGACTCGCCGGACGTAATGTTCTGTCTCGTTAACTTGTCGGTCGACGATTTCAAATACTGCTGAATGATTTGGAGTTTTTCTGGCTCTGTAAAAAAAGGTGCGACGCAATTAATCATCCGGTCGAAGAAGAGAAACTCTATGGCACTTTTTTGCCATCTCGAAATTTTTGAAACTTTTTACACATACTATAAGATGCGATTTTCAGCCTAAGGCCGAGCAAATCATTTCCTTAGCCTCGGCGGTATTTTTTTTCAGTTGGAATGTGAAAAGAAGGCAGTGTTTCAAATGCTGCTTTTCGAACCGCATCGCTTTAGCTACTGTTTTTTAAAATTAGCAGCACCGTCAACTATCATATCTCGTTTTAAGCTAAAAGATGGTGCTTTAAACGACTATATGGCGAAAAAAATTTTAATTTAATAGGTGCTGTAGTTGATTAAATACAGGGGCCGAGAATTAAACTGTATACTTTATGAGATACAAACATTGTATGTTAACATCATGATTTACTTATTGCCTTCTACGTGTCGCATTCGATGTTTATCTTAGTGTTTATAAACCGCGTGTTTAATATCCTCATTCGATTTCCATATATACTTTATAACAAAAGATTTCACTAGTAATTGTTGTTTATTTCAATTTCTTGAAGATATTACCTCAGTTCTTAGAACATATGCCTTTGGCTGAAAGATTATCGATGTGGTACAAACATGATGGGGGTCTACATCATTTTGTGCGTAATATGAGAGAGCATTTAAACACAGTATCCGGTCAAAAGTGAATTGGACGTGGTGGACCAGTTGCCTGACCTCCTCGATTCTCTGATTTAAATCCCTCGAGCTTTTTTTATGGGGGTATTTGAAAAGCATACTGCATTCTTTCGCCAATAAATGATTTAGGAGAATTACGTGACCGAATCCAGTGTGTTTGTCAAATAATTCGACGGAGACTTGGAATTTTCGAGAAAGAGTTCGCGACTCTGTAAGAAAAAGATGCCAAGTCTGTGCGGAAATGGAAGAAGAACATGTGGGACATCTTCTGTAAATATGGAGATAATAATTTAGACAGATTATGAATTGTTTTTCAAAAAATGTTTTTGAAAAAAAAAAACGAAATTCATCAAAATGTGCCAATAGAGATTGACGATTAACGTGACATGCTCTCAAAAGATCAAAGTGTTTAGAGCTGTTATTGTTACTATCATACATACATACATAGCTAATATTTGAAATTTTCTCTTTTAATTCAAAGTAGAGAGCACTTTTCCGCACCCATTGCTGAGTGTGCCGTATCGGCGGAAAACATACGGTTACACGAACAATTGTGATATTTTGGAGGGTATTGGAGGGTAACATTAAAAGTTACCTCAGAATTTAATCAAGATTATGTAATTTTAATGATAAAGGGTTGTTTTGAATCATCTTGTACAATCGAATTTTCAATCTCATTTTCCCATCTAACAATAGTCCAGATCTTAACTGATTTATAAAAAAAAATTAAAAATCCTTAAGAAACTAATTTAGCAAGAAGTTATAGTTTACGATGAGATAACGCTCGAATATTTCGCATAGATCGCTAAAAAATAAGAACGCGATATTGCAATATTAATTAATGATATAAAGCACAAAGTGATATAATTGGGTATACCCACCGAAAACAATGTATAATGCGATTCCTGCAACTCCTAGTAGGATTAATATGATAATCAGCAGAGGTACGAGCGAGCAGGAGCAGCCAGATGCCTTGAGGGGACGAGCCAAGTGTAACGTCCAACCACGGCAATGCTTGTCCAGACGCGCCGGATGCGGTGGCGGATCGTTTCTGACGCTTCGACGTAAATTAACGCGATTCTGAGAGATCGGGCTGTGCATTCGTACCGGCAAGGAATAGGTCTTCTGGAAAAAAAAAGGAAACAGAACAAACGGTGTTAAAATAGAATGCGAATTCATGAGCAGGATACATTTTATATTCGTAGGGCACAATCTCATAAAAAAGTATAAAAGAGACAATAAAAGAAAAATTACAAAAATCTTGAAACGGATACTTTGAAGGGATATCTTAAGTCCAGTTGAAAATAACATAGTCAGTGAAAGGAAGTTTGCAAACATTTTTACCTCAATGAATTTCATAGCGTCCTACCACAGTGTCCAATAGAAAAATTTATCCTCTGAGAATGATTAAAAGACAACTTCTATTGACAACCAAATGTTCTGTAATTTATCAAGATATAATATATAATTGCAACTTTCCTTCCACCGTGTACAGTAAGACAATTTAAATCAAATATTATAGATAATGACATAAAATTCTGCCTTAAAAGCCTTTCTCTGCTTATATATTCTATATTAAAGATAATATTTACAATCTAATTATTTTAAAGATAATATTTAATATTTATTAACAAATATTTGCGAACGCGCGTAAATCGGTCCTGAAAAAGATCTCTTCAAATTTTGTTAGCCAGCACGTTTCATTTTGCTGCTTTATTATAACGTACTTTCATCATTTTTGCCGAATGCCTCTCACTCTACACATCACTCGTTTACGACGACGCGCCTCGCTATGAACTGCCACGTTTACGCCGGGCTATAGATAGACGTCTTCCACTTCCGTTCTGTTTTGTTTCTTTACGTCGGTACAACGCCAGACGACGGCCGTTTCTTCTTCACTCGTTCTCATCTCTGATGCGTGCTGGAAAATCGCTGGTTGCCTCAGCAAATCGCCGATTATGATGTCGAAAAACTCGAAGTTTCAAAACGTGCATTTGATATTATTTCATCTACAGCTTATTCATAAAAGAAAACTGTATTTATCGCCAGTTTTAATCATCTGCTTCCAGTTTCAATTGTCCATTCAATTTATACTCTTTCGGGATTTCCAACACCAATCGACTATACAACACGGATTCGAATATTATTTGTAGATATATAATGGATGCTCGAAAGTACCACAATTTTCAGACTTTTTCATATTCTTTAATGCAAACCATTAATTATTATTACTGCAATAGAATTTATGCCAAAATAGCTCGTATACAACAATTGTTATAAAAAGATCGTATTTATGTATAAATCAATGTATTTGTATATGAATAGATGTATTTGTGTATAAATAAACATACAAGGTGTCCTATTTTAACTTTTTCATCAAAATAACTTTTTTCCTACGTTTTCTACAATAAAATATTTCAGACAGAAGTTGTAGAGTTTCAAGGAAGACATAAGGTAATCATTTTAACTTTGGTATATATACAGCAATTTAAAGTCATACCAAGGTTAACTTTATTTTTTTTTAATAGAATTATATCGTTTTTTTAACACAGTTTGATTCTTTCATTCATTCTGCATATAAAAGTTTAATCATTGTACACTGGTGCATGGATGCATTTGTAATAAATTTTTATTAAGATTTTTCTGTTTGCTTATAGTGATCAATTCCATCTGTTATTTTGCGCATAAAAATAAGATGATGTTATCGAAAAATGAATAACTTATGAGATATATCATATATTGTAATGAAAAAGATTAGAGTAAAAAATAAAATATCTCGAAAAATATTTACTTTTTGATGATCTTATTCTAGTGTTTTTATATACAGAATGAACAAAGGAATCAAACTGTGTTAAAAAATGATATATAATTCGATTAAACAAATTTTTTTTAATAAAGTTGATTTTGAAATGATCTTGAATTATTAACTATAAAACAAAGTTAAGGTCACTACCTTATGTCCTTTTCAAAACCCTATAACATTTGTCTGAAAATTTTTTGTATAAGACATAGATAAAAAGATATTTCGATGCGAAAGTTAAAATGGGACATCCTGTATATGTATACAGGAGGGTTGTTCCGGAAGTTCCCACAAAATCATACAAAAATATATAATTAATTTCTGAAGTTGGCTTTATTGTTTTTCAAAATATTCTACGTTACAATTAATATACTTTTCCATTCGATGAAACCATTCGAAGTATTATATCCATCTTTTTGAAGGCACTTCAGACACCAGATTTTTAAATGCCTCCACTGTCATCTGTCACGTTAAACCTTTACACTCGAGGGCTCCGGAGCGGAGCCATTTAAAATTTGTCTTCAAACTCGAGGGCTCCGCTATGGAGACAATGCAAATAACTTTCAGTTCATAACATAAGGACAAAGACAAATCGTAAAAACTATTGTGTATAGGATATTCCGCTCTTGCTATTTGCATTTGAGTTTGAAGAGTTTGAAGACAAATTTTAAATGGCTCCGCTTCGGAGCCCTCGAGTGCAAAGGGTTAAAATCACATATTTTATCCTTGATATATAGAAATAGGAAGAAATATAAATAAATAAATAAATAAATATATATATATATATATATAGGATCCGCCACCCAAATTTGGACAAAATGAACAATTTGTTTAAATAAAATTTTATTCGTCAAAATGTAAAAATTACAAAAAAAACTTTTTGTACATCACTAGTAGTATCCTTTTAGAATTAAATTATTCTGTATAATTCCCTTTTGCTTCGATGACTGCTTCGATCCTCGTCCTGAAGCGCTAACATTCTCTCTGCAACGCGTCCTTGTCCATATTAGTGAATGTTGCCTCGATAGTGGCCTGGCGATATGTCATGTTGGGATGTATCGAGTTATTGGTCATTTGTTCAATGCCCTACACGTAGCAGTCCAACCGATTCAACGGATCCAACGGATTCTGGACTGTTTGGAGGTCAAAAACAAATTACAGCGACCAACTCTGTCCATCTTGGTAGCCTCGGAGAGCATTTGTCGAACTTTTATCACATAGGACTTGAAGCGTAGGTCCTCTTCAACAATTCGACGCATTGTAGTGTCATTCACACTTAATGTTTTTGTCAATTTCGCCAGAGACAGCCTTGGGTCCTCTGAGATGATTTCTTGAACCCTTTCGATAATTACTGGAATCCTTACCGACTTTTCTTTCGAATAGCTCTTCCTCGTCGGGTTGGCAGAACCTTTTTTGGACGTTTTCGAAGCCAAATATTTAGCCAAATATTTAGCAACATCATATACAGTCGATCTCGAGTACCCGAAGAACCGAATAATTTCGGTTTGAGAACGCCCAGCGCGAAGGCCTTCGATTATCATCGCTTTTCGGTTATAATCCGCACTTGATCTTATCTGCTCGGACATTTTGAAGTTATGTACGCTTATTACAAATATCTGACTTGCCCGAACGTCAACTACGACCTACCGCCGAAGTCTAATGAGGCGGGAAATTAAAATTAAAATTTGTTCGGATTTTGCTGGCGGATCCTGTATATATTAGGTCTACCGGAAAGTTCTGTCCGTTCCGGTTATAGAGCAAAATCCTTTTTTGACAACATCGGAGAGTGCTGAAAGGCTTGTTTCAGCTCAACAAACCATTTCGGACCATATTCGGAAATTAGGATTGGTGTGGAAATATTCGAGATGGGTGCCACATGAGTTAAGTGAGGATTTGAATGATCGAGTCATCATATGCACATCTCTGCTTGCACGGAACAAAATCGAACCCTTCTTGGACCGGACGTTAACTGGGGATGAAAAGTGGATTACCTACGAAAACATCGTAAGGAAAAGGACATATTGCGAACTCGGAAAACCTACCCCCTCCACTTCTAAACTGAAGTTGAACCTGAGAAAAATTGGATCATTAATAGTAGGTTCGAAAAAATATAATCCGATAATCTGACCATTAAATATTCCAACTCAAACATGGAAGCTTCAACGTAATATTAATTGAGCATTTGTCGGGACTAATAAGGATTTATTGATGAATAACAATAACAATTGTGTTTATTGAGATTCCTAGTGCTTAGGAATGTTGCTTTGTTCCTGAAACAAATATTCCAAAAAAAAAAAAATCCGAGTTCTGTTCTGATGCATCGAGTTCCCATTTACAAAATCGAACCCTTACAAAGAAACGGTCGATTCTTACTGATTTTTATGGGCTTGAGATATATTATAAAGCATTAAAAAATATTATACCCATATTTTTTTTAGTAGCGTACTTCAACGTTTATGGGTTGAAATAACCCCTCGAAGAAAAACAAATTTAAAAATTTTTCATGAATATCTTCCAAAATATAAAATATATGGAAAAACGCTTCCCACCAAAGTTTTATGATATTTTATACTCTTTACAACGGTATATTTATATTAAAAAAAAAATAAAGTATTTTTAAAAAAGTAAAGTTCAATTTTTTTACCCTCCACCATCACCTGTTATTTTTGTAAAATTTAAAGATTGTGTAAAGACAAAAATTAAAAAGCATTGCGTGTCAAATCTATTCATATATAATAATAATATGTACTCAGACGAAGCCTCAGAAACATTAACCGTCACTATAAAAAATTCAAGCAACTGACAGTTAATGGTGCCGATGTCATCCGCGAAACTCTAAATATTTTCAAAAAAAGTCAAGACAATTTATTAATTCGCGCTGTAATAATGTCGAAGTTAGCGGGGGAATTTTTGAACATATTTTGTAAAGTTTCAAACAAGAGAAAGAACATTAAACAACATTTACTTTAATTCATATTTTCTTGCAAAAGCAACTTCAATACCCCATAACTCCAAAACTATTCGGATTCGAATATATATTTAGTAGGCATTTTCGACTTGTTTTCGTGCGCTAAAGCTGCTCTACTAGTTTTGGCACTGAGGTTAGGGACTTGTATATCAATGTTGATTTTCGTAATTGCATATTTAACATATGCGAGCGCCGTGCTATATGCGGTACGCTATAGGTATGCGCCACGTCTCTGAGATTTTATATATGACAACACGATTAATTAATCACTTTAGCATATTTTTATATACATATTTATATTTCAAGTAAGGATTTAAAATCAGGAAATATTATACAATTATTGAGAAAAGAGAGCGACTGAAAAGAAGAAAAGAAACGGAACTATTAAACTAATAACAATTTAAATTTAATTAACAGATAAGATTTAAAATCGATGAATATTTTTACTAATTATAAAAAAGGAGAAAATAAAAAATAAGAGACAAGCCAAAACTCTCGCACGGCACATCTTACCTGAAAAGGATTTTGATCCTTATGGTCGGTATAAAAGATTGGCGTATCCTTGCCATACCAACGATTCTGCGAGTAAATCGAATTAACTCTCATATCGGTTCCGTTCCTCGACATTTCCTGCTTGTTCTGGTTACTTTCCATCATGTAGTCTAGTATCTTGTCGTTTCGGGTGTTCGCCAGAAGGTTGGTCGCATTATCCGCCATTGGACGCAGCCCATTCTCGGACATGGGAAACGAGCGGGTTCTTTTAGTATCGAGATCCCGAAGACTCGCCCTGTTCAAGATCGGGTAGATCTTGATGTTCTGCGACTTCAGGATCGAATCACGGAACAAGAGGTTAGACGTTGGATCTGAATCTTTATCCTGACGATTGTTGTTCCCGTTCTCCTTAAGGATCGCGTCTTTGCTGCCAGCTAGTTCGTCCAGTTTCTTACTGGAATTCGCACCAGCCAATTTGCTCCTGCAGTGCTTGCAATCTTTCTTCCTGCGTCTGCGATTCGGCCTGGATAGACTCGTTGCGTCTCGTAATGAATTCTCGTTTAGCCGAGGCGACGAGGATAGTGCCTCTTCGACGTTCCCGTGGAGGACCCTTGAAAGATCGCAAGGATTTCTGCAGGACTCTTCGATGTCATCCTCGCTCGTTCTGGACACTTTCCACGACGAAGAACTGTCGTGATTCGCGCTAATTCTAGCCGAGGAGGATAACGAGCTCTGTTGGAAAGACTTCTCGATCACGGGAGACGCGATCGACGATGTTTCGCTGACCCAAGCTTGCTTGGTGAAGTCGGCCGTTCGACGATCTTGAATTTCGCAGATGTTCTGAATCTCGTCAGGGGAAGATGTTTGCTTGCAAAATTTAGAAGGATTTTCCGTATTGCTAGTAAAAATGTCCTCGTATACGTGATTCTCGTGATACGTCGCGGTTTTTGTGATGAAAGAATCGATGGCGTTTTCATGAAGCTGCCGAAGATTGCTCGAAGACTCGAATGTGGATTGCTTTTCTGCTGTACGTGATTGCTCTTCCTCCGCGTAACCTTGGTTCTCCATTTGAAACTGAAAGGGAAACAAATCCTGATTAACGCGAATATCTTGGTTCTTCACATGCTGTGATAGTAATCGAGCGAGTAACACGCTATGATTACGAATTATTATTCAATCAATTAGTCTTTTGAGAAAGATTGTACTCACAACAGAAATACTATTATTATCTCTCATGTACCTTTCATTAAAGCTACAATTATTTCCGTGAAGGTTTCTGCGAAACAAGCATTCGGCGTGCATTCGTGTCAAACAATGGAAGAAAACGAAGGAAGGATAAGAAGGGACAAAATAGCGCAAGAGGGAAGACGAATCGTGCGTCTCCTCGTTGGAAAGCATCTTCATGATTGCCACAATTATCGTGACTTGACTCCCCGATTAATCCCGCCTGGTGCCGATTGATGATGTCATCGAGAACGCGTCTGCGGAACCATTCGTTCATTCTCGATCCGTCTATGATATATACACGCAAGTAATACGCTTGGATTTCTACAATTTCACTTCTTCAATGAAAACTTGAGGAGCTTGGAGTAAACGTGAGATATTTATATTTCATTAACATACGTCGGACACTTATATGTTAGCATTTCTTCTCTTATATTATTTAATTTAATTTCATTAAAAAGATCGAGATGTCTATTTTTAGCCGAAATTTATTACTATTCCTTTGTAGAAACGAGTCACGCGTTATCGAATGTACATTTATAGAAAGCATATACATTTAATACTATATACTGTATGTGTATAAGTCAATTTATCAAAATTAATTTTCCGACATATTTTTGATACATGGCTACTTTCCACATTGCAATGTATCTATTTTCGATCGTTTGTTTATGCGTCCATGAAACGTCTTATATTTGCGTTTCAATGACGAGTACTTGGCTACGAAGGATATGTTGCGAGGTTAATACGACACAAAAAGCCCATTCACTAATAAATATAATTAGCGAGTCGCTGCACGCATATCGCGATTATTCAGTTGCGTCAGACCAATGGGTATGTGTGTTGAATATGTGTGCATACGCGTTAATATATTATCGCCGCAATTCCCAGCATTCCCGTTAGATTAATTCTGACAGCTGTCGCATTAGGAACTGATCGCAGCAATCTGATTAATTTCATGACGATTCAGCCGCACGCGTATTCTTACGTTCGCGACGATGCATTGTTCTGACCGTTGATGAACGTTGTGAAGCACATTTTTTATTCGTGCTATATCACGCACTTTAAGTCTGAGGTAATAATATTATAATCTCAGCATTTCTCTCCCTGGTAGAAATCTGTGCAGTTTTACTAGATACACCCAATCAGTTACTGTCCAATATTACTGCATTCTTATTAATTGTATCAATACTGTATAGGAAATGAACAAACATTTCATAGAATTTTGCTCAGTACCTACCAGTTTTCTTGGTAAAAATATGTACAGTTTGCATAGGCAATTGCCCAGTTATTGTCTAGTATTATTGCATTTCATAGATATATTGAAACTGCGCAAAAACTGGAAAAGAACTAAATATAGTTTTATTAAGTTTTATATCGCATGAACACGCATGATAAAGATTATATTATATTAAATTATATTAAATTTATTGTTCAAAACTACGTTATGGTAGAAGTGACAAGTAAGGTTAGAGTTGAAAGTGAGCAAACAATAAATGGGCTGTATATTAATAATACAGAATTGTATTGTAAGACAAGAACATAACAGACTATCTTAGAAACATACTTTAGATTTTTTGTACAATTGTGGACTTAGGGTTATCTGACTTTTTGTAATAAGTTTGGCAACCTAAAAATTATCCAATGAGAGAATAGTTCCTAAGAAATAAGTTTATTATTGGCCCATTCATTATGTTCTGAAACTTATTACAAAAAATCAGATAACTTTTATGTCTACGATTTTATTACGACTTTTATTAACCTTAAAATTGTATAAGTAAACATGCATACATATCCATTATTACTAGCATAAAACTGCCCATTTTATGAGCAGTAAACTTGCTTATCAATGAATTGAACAGTTTCTTTGTCCAATTATTGCTCAGTTTACCATGAGTGAGTTCATATTTTGCGCATCTTTTGTGCCCAGTAACTGCAGACAAAGCGTTACATCTTGATTAAGATCTCAACAGTTTTATTGAGCAGTTACTGGGCAGAAATTAATATAACTATTCATTAACTGTTTAAAAATTGCACGAAATTTCTACTACCGTTCACATTTGCGTTATATTATTGTTCCTCGTGCTGACTTGTATTTATTTGACTTTATATAACAACACGTTGACCGTGGCTGACTTTGAATGTTTATGTTTTATTTGTCCGTTGGAAATCCAACGAAGGATCGAAACGTTTGATTAATACACTTTACGTTAATTAATATGCACTTTTAATTAAAGAACCACATCACCGCGTAATCGTACTAATATAACAGTGCGTATACTCTTAACGGCCATTTTATGCGCTCTAATTTTGAATTACTTTGACTTTCTAAGCCATCTTGAAGCCTGATCATATGTTAATTTTGGCCTTTTTGTAAGCAAAACTAAAAATATTGCCTAATAACGCTTGAGGTATTGTATTCATTATGAAAATTGTCACTTTAACCTAAAAAGGTAACGTTCAGAATAACAATAAAGTATACACTATGCAAACGGGTACGTTTCAATCTTTTCAATATCATATATCAGATGACGCTATAGTCAATTACCGTCTTCAATTAAAACCGTACACTTTCCTGTGAAAAAGATTGTAAATCGGGCAACTGAGAGCTCATTAAAAGGATTGAAGTACGTATATTATAATATACAGGCTTATAATGAGTGATATTATCAGTAAACGGGTAGCACAAAGCCAAGGCTGTTGCGCAGCATCGTCGCATAGAAGACCGTAGTAGACACCAAGATCAGTCGCTCGTATCGGTTAATGGTTAATTACTTCTCATATACGCTTATAAGGATGCCGTCTCTTCTTACACGCCAAGTGGTGTCCAATTTATCGTGAACGAAGTTAAACGACCGACGAAGAAGCGCTTCTGCCAACCCGTATATACGTTAAGCTCGTTTTTCCATTCGTATCTCTTATTATATCACAATGTTAATATTGTTACATCGTTACCAATTGTTACATCGTTACTAATTATCTATATTATGCGTGTACGCGTTTTCATAGAGCTGTCCCTTCGTGAAATGTGTCGTATTTTGCTCAAGGAAGAATAGAGACAGATAAGAATGGTATGGGAGGGAGGAAAGAGCAACGGGAAAGAGCATGCTACTTAACGGTCGCCGGAACGAATCTCAAAAACCCTCTTTGGGGTTCGGCTTATTATTATACTCGCTAATAAGCGTAGTATATCGCGTCAATTATCCGCTAAGTATAGGGTCCAAACCAAAGGGCTATCGGCATCAGCCATTGGGCCGATGACTACACGTCACTGGCATGCACACAGCCGTAATTCATACGGTTAGCTATAATGGCCGGTCGTACTACCCGTCTACATATACAGGGTGAGGAAAAAATATAAGGAAATTCAGAGAAATCTTGCAAAATATAAGTTTTGCAGAAAAGTGTATCAGATAAAAGTTATATGGTTTATAAGGATCTATTTATTGATTTTATCAGTTTGACCGTGGATGGTGTCGCCAAAGTCAGGACAAAGTCAAGCTGAATTCTTATAACCCTTGTTGAGACGTTTTCAGAACACTATAATAAAGTTCCTTTTAGTTAAGCATTTCTTGAAATATTTTAAAATTTGTCATGATAAGATACAATACTTGTCATGATAAGATACAAACTTTTAAGATACAATATGAAATATCTCATAAAGTAAAGAAGAACATGATCCAGTCATCTAAAGCAAGATCGAAGTAGTGAAAACGAATGATTTTGAGTAGCCGTAAAAGCAACTGATATTGAGTAGCGGTGAAAACAACTGATAATGAGTAGCTATGAAAATAACTGATTTGAGTAGCCATGAAAATAACTGATTTCGAGCAGTTTTCTAATTATTAGAGTATTTACATAGTTTGTTTTATTTTGAAAAGGTAGATCCTTCTTCGATCTTGCTCCCGTAGTATTTAATGACTCCAAACCCTCTGTGCTGTGTGTGTGTGTGTGTGTGTGTGTGTGTGTGTGTGTGTGTGTGTGTGTATGTGTGTGTGTGATACAGATGAAGACTTCACAATTTGTTATTCACGTAGAGGGTTTAGAGTCATTAAATATTGCGGAAGTGACGAACCATGGGGTGCTTATCTCTGCTAACACACACACACACACACACACGCGCGCGCGCGCGTGCACAAATAAGTATAAATCCGACCGTGCAACCTCCATACGTTATACCTTGGGTAATGCTAATGCTGGCATTAGTGTAATTTTTAAGTTCCACTGGGAACTTCTACTAATAATTATTATTATCTGTACAAAATTGTTAATACATAGATCACTAAAAAAGTTTTGCAATACACGCCTTAATTTCATCGTGTCATATCAAATTTGATTAGTCTACATCCACAAACCGTTCATAAACACTGAGTGTTTGAATCAGTCGAGTTTGTCAAATATGGTCATGGTCGAAAAAGGAAATTCATACGGTAATTAAATACAATTTTGTGAAAGGTTTGACGATTGATGAGTATTCGAACCAACTCAAAACGGTTTTTGGCAATGACTGTCTACATGAAACAACAATATTTTGCTGGTACCGCTGGAATTTCAGCGTGGAAGCTTCTCTACGGATGACAACATGCAAAAGCCTCTGGGCAGTCTTCTGACGCCTTCTGACGCCTAAAATAACGGAAGAAACCATGAATAAAGTGAGGCACCTATTTGCCGAAAGCCGGCGGATATTGGCGTATTGAGGAGAGTCCACTACAAATTAGTGTATCAAGCATTCATAAAATTTTACATGGACGATTTTGCATGCATGGAAAATTTGTACACTATAGGTCTCTCATTCTCTAACAGTAGAGAAACAAAAGGCACATAGGGTGAAATGATGTCAGAAAATGATG